TCAACCCAACAAGACCCAAAGATCATCGAAACAAATCTTGATCTGACCATTTCAAAGCCGATCTTGAATGAAAAAAANAAAACACATCATTCGGGGCGGCGCCAAAGGGGGACTTTGGGGAGATCATGTGCCGCAGCGAATGAAGGACGACGACCCCGAGCTTGTCTGCGTTAAGCTCTCGGAAGCGCCGTTTCAGGTTTTCGGAGCTTCAATCTGCTTCCCAAGATGGGAACAGTGGCACCCCAGCACCACCGGACCCCGATTTGCTGATCAACGGTCGCCGCTGCGGTAGGCTGTCATCGGTGGGCGATGCGGTTGGCTCGTTTGGCAGTTCGGCGTGAGGCTGTCCCCGCAAGTCGGCAACGCCACTCCCGTCCTGGTTGGTGGGTGGTGGCCGGTGGTACGTACATACATAGTACAGGGCAGTACATTTTTAGTGCTATGTACCATGTAGTGTGCCATGCTCCATTGTTTCAGGGGCATTGATCCCTTGGTTTTTGTTCCTTTCCCTTTCGATGGCCTTTCCTCCCCCTGCATAGTGTAGGGTACACCACATATGTATGTTGTCAAGGGGTACGTCAAGCGAGCGCTACTCTGGCTATGGAGCTCCCAATACCGATCGTTACCCCCAATGATACCTGCCCACTGAATCAAAATTGCGATGGTCAACCACATGTTAGCTTCCGAAACACGCTGCCCATGGGTTGGCCCACCTGTCACTTTGCTATCTGGATGCCGTCAGATTCGGCCTCGGATACAGGCACTGATAGGGTTGTTTGTTTCCGAGGGTACCAAGTCGATACTCATCAAAGGTGGAGGCGAGGAGCCGAGCAAACAAAGAGGCCATCAGGCCGGCCAGTTGGTTGTCATGGTTTCAAAAAACACTCCAGAGCTGGTAAACTGCTCGGTTGATGCCAAGCTCGCAATCGGCTGGGGATCGTCACCAGAAGATTGCTTGCCCCTGGGAGGACCGAGGCGAGCAACGGAGGACGACCAGATGAACATGGGACGACACAAGGGTTTGCCTAGTCCCATCATTGTTTCCTAGGTAGGTGGTCCTCCTTTTTTTCCCTTTCGACCAAGATACGTCCGCACCGCCCCAATGTTTCAACGACGGCTTCCTATCACCTTCTCTTCTTCTTCTTCCACCTTCTTCCTTTTCTTCTACCGGCCAGTCTCCTCTTGACGAAAACACCGGCCTGACTCGTCCTCCCTCACTCTCTTTTCACTTTCGACTAGTCGTCGAACCTTACGCTCCTTTAACCAACAAAGCCCGAGAACCGCCGCAAACGTCCGCGGTCGCCCTTCTCGGCCCACACTCGTTTTAACGGTTTAGCACCTTCGTCACCTATCCTGTCTTTCTTGTCACGATGAAGTTCCCCATCGTCGCCGTTGCGGCTTCTGTTCTCTCAACTGCTGGTCTGGTTGCAGGTGACCCTCATGTCATCCAGGTTCGCGCCGAGGACCTTCAGGTCCGCAAACATGGCGGTCACAGTTTCAAGATTTCCCAGATTTTCAACCAAAAATACCAACACAAGGTTAAGGGCAAGGGCATCAGAGATGTCGCCAAGGTCTACACAAAGTTCAACATGAAATTCCCCGACCACCTTCGCGAGGCCCTCGTCCGCGTCTTTGGCGACCTGGGCGTCAAGATCCCTGGCAACCTCCAGGCCTTGAACGACGGCTCTTTCTCAGCTGGTTCCCAGGGTACGTATTCCTTTGTTTTGGGACCATCTCTGCGCTCCATTTACTGACCTCCCTTACAGGTGAGGTTGATGCTACGCCTGTCCAATTCGATGTTCAGTATCTCGCTCCCGTCCAGATCGGCTCCCCGCCGCAGACGGTCATGATGAACTTCGACACCGGCTCTTCCGATCTCTGGGTCTTCAGCTCCGAGACCCCTGCCAAGCAGCGCAATGGCCAGAAGATCTACAACATGACCCAGAGTACCACCGCCGAGCTCGTCGACGGTCATGTTTGGAGGATCTCGTACGGTGACGGCAGCAGCTCGTCCGGAAATGTCTACACTGACAAGGTTAGCATTGGCGGCGTCGAGGTGGACAAGCAGGCTGTTGAGATTGCCACCGATGTGTCCGACTCTTTCACCAATGACGCTGCCTCCTCCGGTCTCGTCGGTCTCGCCTTTGACTCCATCAACCAGGTCAAGCCCCGCAAGCAAAAGACCTTCTTCGGCAATGCGATCGACGACCTAGCCATGCCGCTGTTCAGTGCCAATCTCAATAAGGCTGAGCCTGGCAACTACAACTTTGGCTTCCTCGACCAGGAGGAATTTGTCGGTCCCATTAGCTTCGTCGACGTTAATGCTACCCGCGGTTTCTGGGAGTTCGAGGCCAGCGGCTATACCCTTCCCGCCTCCAACTTTACCGAGTTCAACAACAAGACCGGTGTTTTCCAGTCCCTGACCCACACCGCCATTGCCGACACCGGCACCACCCTCCTCATGCTCCCCCAGCCCATCGTCGAGGATTACTACGGTCAGGTCGCCAAGGCCCGCAGCGACAATGCTTATGGTGGTTATGTATTCCCCTGCAATGCCGACCTCCCGGACCTCATCCTCCACATTGGCTCCTACAAGGCTCGCCTCACCGGTGATCTCATCAAGTACGCTCCCGCCGACACCGATGACTTTGCGACGGCCAAGTGGTGCTACGGTGGCCTCCAGAGCGCCCAGGGCTTCCCCTTTTCCATTTACGGAGACATCTTCTTCAAGGCCCAATTTGTTGTGTTCCAGGGTGGTGTGATCGATAAGGATGACTGGTCCAAGGGCGCCAAGTTGGGCTTTGCTGCCAAGCCTGGCACTCAGCTTCCTCAGGAGACGGAGACACCCGCGGTACCGGACGTTCTGCCCATCAACAACGCTACCAGCCCGGTTGGAAGCGGCCACAGACGCACTGGCGGTGGTTCTTGTCGTGCTCGCGTTAAATAAGTCATAAACCTTGTTACTCTGGCAGGTGATGTGAGAGAAAAATAGGTCCGGAACACTCGCTGGGTCTGGTTTGGTGTAAGCGTGTCCGGACCACTCTTCACATCACCTCTCTAGTTAGAGTCTTGGTTTTGATGCTTGAGTCGGCATGCTTTTTTTTCGAGTTTGCGATTGATAATATTTGAGGAGCAATCCGGCAAACAAAACTACACGTAGTACACATTGAGATGAGACTGCGTACGATGTACATATCATTACCTGCCAAGCGTCTTTGCGTTGCATAGCGGGTTAATCTTATTCGGTTTTATTCTTGATGTGTTTTATAGTCAATTTACCAACGTCAATGCATCAATCAGCCTATGCTTAAATTCCTTTGATACCCAGACACAACGAAACGGCTAGGAACTCACAAGGATTTCCTACTCATCTGAATTCCTCCAAGGTCGTGTACACGTACGGAGGGTGTTGCCGAAACTGGTAGTGTTGAAAGCAAAAAAGGGGGTACCGTATCCAGCGCAGTTCCTTACATAACCCTAACCCCTGATTTGCAGCTACGTAGAATAACCCGTCCGAGCGAAGACATCCACGCGCCTTCAACCCTGGAATATTCCACACGCGTTTCCCATGAGGGCGACCTTCCATCAAACTTACATCAATCGATGAGCCAACTCGCAACAATCACAGGATACTGCTCACACGGAGCATTGCGTTTTATTTTCCCTCTACATATTCAGAGAGTATCAATACGATCCCTACCTCTTTAGACGGACTTTTGGTGCAACTCTATGCCGCAATCGATATTGTGCCCCGCATCACACACATAGTCGCCGTCGCAAACCGTTCGCAAGGGCGTCCGTCATTGGCGCACAACAGCGCACATTTCACTTCTCACTCACTCTGATCACAATACCTCAGTCACCCAGCGACATCAACAAATTTAGCAATCACACAACCCAACAAGACATCTACACCTCCTAGCTATTTCGACCATCCCATTTGCAGAATAACAAACAGCAACCCAACCATTGAACTCCACCTCCCTCTTACTTCACCTTTTCTCCCAAAACACTCGGGAATAAACCAGTCAAAAAAAGAAAAAAAGGACAAAAAAAAAAAAAAAAAAAAAAAGACAAGATGCTCCGCCGCCCCTTAACAGTCCTAAACATCACGGCCGAAGACATAGCGTCGTATGAAGACCGAGCTCTTGAGCGCCAAAAAGCCCGCGAGATGGCTGCTCGCACACAAGCCCGTCAGGATGCCATGAGACGGGGTCACGGCCACAGTCATGGTCACGCGCAACCACTTCAGCAACAACAACAACAACAACAACAACAACAACAACCCAGTGCAGGAGCGAGGATCTTTGGAAGGGAACATCCCGGTGTTGGGAATGTTGGGGCAAGTGGTGGGTTAGGCTTTGGTACAGGTGGTGGCGGCGGTGGTGGTGCAAGGATAAGCGAACAGTATATGGGTATGGGTAATGATGAAGAAGAGAGTGAAGAAGAAGAAGAAGAAGATGATGCCGGTGACGAAAGCTATTATGCGCAGCGCCATGCGCAGAGACAGGCGAGGATGATGGAGCAGCAGCGGGAGGCGGCGCAGAGACAGGCGGCGCAGAGACTTGCGCAGCAACAGCAACAGCAACAGCAACAACAGCAAAGTCAGGTTCAGGTGGAAGAGAGGACGACGGCCACAGCACAGACCTCCACTACCACTACGGCCGGTCGAAGGGGTGATACTACCGGTACTAGAGCACCACCAGCCACAACAGCTGCTGCTGGAGGGAGACAACCACGCGGCCATCAATCACGCGCGGCAGTCACACCCACTGGACCAACGACGACAGTAACGGCAGTGGAAACTCCATCTGCCATGCCAGGAGGAGGAGGAGGAGGAGGGGGAAGAGGAAGAAGAGGACTGCGCGGGGGCACAACAACAACAACGGGAACACGTGCAGGACAACAACAAACCCCGGCTGCCACAGGACAACACGACGGCGCCCAAGAAGAAGAAGCAAGAGATGAAACAGAAGGAGAAGAAGAAGAAACCCAACGACTCGACCAAAGAGGAGGAGGATACGGTGGTTATGCCGGGGAAATGGACCTTGACATCAACACGCACATTCCCTTTATTTCCTCCTCCGATGACAACAACAACATGGAAGGAATGGAAATGCTTCTCCCACCCGGTTACCACCTGCACGGCGGCTACGGTCTGCAAGTTGAAAGCCATGAGATCCAGTTCCATACTCCCCCCGTCGCAGCGCAGTCTGGGAACCAGGTGATTGCTACGCCGCCACCGCCGCCGCCGCTGGCGGTGAATCAACCTCATCAACATCAACAACAACAACGTGCCCCCCACCCTCAAGCTTCTTCTCAGTCCCAACACAGTCACCAAACAACACACCATAACCATAACCAACAACCGCAACCGCAACCCCCTCATCAAAACACCCGCCGCCGCCTCTCCCAATCCCAAAACATCCCCCCTCCGATTCCACCCACTCCAGTTCCCCGCACAACCACCACAACAACAACCCCCGCCCAGCGCGTCGCGGCCCAACAAGCCCACCAACGTGCCGCCGCTCAACAAGCCTCGGCCCTCCGTGCCCAAAGAAGGAGAATGGCCATGGAAGCGGATGAGCAAGAGGGGCTGTACGCTCGCTTGACCAGGGAACATCCTTCTTTGTCCGTGTCATCCACTACGACGGCTGTGCCTGCTGCCCAGGGCTCTTCCGGTGTGGTTACTACGCCTGAGGGACAGGTGGGTAATGCCGGTGGTGGTGCTGCTGCTGCTGGTGGAGCGAGGACTGCTGCGGCTCAGGGGAGACGGAGAGGCTAGAATGGTTGGTCACAAAATAGTTCAGGTTGGGGAGGGAGGGAGGGAGGGAGGGATGGATGGATGGTTGGATGGTTGGTTGAATGAGGTCGTCTATAGTGCTGGTCTGATCCGGAATACCTAAAATAAATGATTTCAGCGAACACCGTCATAACAGTCCTTAGATGTGGTGATTAGCAGCGTTAAATTTCATCACCTTGCTTCTTGCGCCTATCCCTCTCTACCTACAACACCGCTTGCTTTTCGTCCGCACCCAAACATTTATCTCCGCTGAATCTGTCCGTCCATTGCCATGTTTCTTCGGAAATGCTCACATGGACGCAAGCAACAGAGGCAATAAAGCTGTTTGTTCTAGCAAAGAACCCCGTTGATATCATGCCTTAACCTGTACATAAACCCTGTCCATCCTTTTTATGCCCCAGGTCTGATGTCCATTTTCTAAAAGGAAGTGATTCCGCTTTCTGGTGAAAAGATATTTATTTCATTCCCACCCCATTCCCTTTACTTATTAGATGCTTTGCAATTCTTCGTTTTGTTCTTCCTGCAGCTTGCCCAGATTTTCCTCCGTCAACGCCTCTCCTTCCCTCCGCTCTATCGAGGCCGGACTTGTCGTCATATCTGCCACGCTCGGTTGTGATGGGTAATGCGAACTGGCATCAAGAAGCTGTTCAACTTGACCAAGCCCTGTCTGCTCACCAGGGTCTCCTGTTGGTTTTGTCGCGTCTGGCACGCCGTGTCCAGAACCTGACCCTGACGAAAAGTATCCCGCCGTCGGAGACTGCTCAACCTCAGCACCACCCCCTGGAGACATCCCCTCTGCAACTCGGCCAGGACCCATAGGCGTAGCAAGATTCGACCCTTCATGATCATCAACGTTGTCATACGCATTCAAGTCCAATTCAGACGGCTCTTCATTCAGCCCAACAGCAGGAATACCAGCACTCTGACAATGCTCACCAGACTCTGTGCATTGCGATGTAATCGGCGAGAGTTCTTCCCTTTTGGTAGTGCACCACCTCAGCAACATCCTTTCGAGCGTTGTCCTTTTGACAGGTTTGGACAGGTAATCATCCATGCCCGCCCTCTTGCATTTTTCCCTGTCGCCTTGGATTGCCGAGGCGGTCATGGCCACGATCGGCACATCTCTCACGTAGCTTCTGTACGGGGCGTGGTGCCGGAGGAGGTGGGTGCACAGGTACCCATCAATCAGAGGCATTTGTACGTCCATCAGAATGATGTCCGGTTTCCGTTTCTTGCCAGTGCTGGCTTTAGAAAGGTATTCGAGAGCTTCCTTGCCGTTCCAGGCGGCCGCGACTTGGAAGCCTAGTTTTCTGATCGTCCTGATGGCGATTTGTTGGTTGATCTCGTTGTCTTCGACTACCAGGATAAAGATCTTGCTGCGGTCCGGCATGGAGAGCTCCTCTTGCGAGGTGGTGGGGGAGAGGCTTGTCGAGGATTGTCTCCATGCCGACCTTTGCTCGCCGCTCAGCGCACCTGACTCCTGGTCAGCCGGAGCCGGGCAGTTACAAGACACGCTTGTCTCGCTCTGTAATCTGTCAGATAGCGGGCCGGTAATCGACTGTGCTTTTTGTGGCTTTTTGAATGGGATCCAGAACGTGGCTGTAGTTCCTTCGTCCTTTTTGGATGCGAGCGCCATGCGCCCTTTCATCAGTTCTAGCAAGTTCTTGGAAATGGTCAACCCTAGACCGGTACCCCCAAATTTCCGCGCTGTCGAGGGATCTCCCTGACTGAAAGGCTGGAAGAGCCGTTTGAGCACTTCTTCTTCAATACCAATGCCCGTGTCCTGAATCACGAACTTGACCTCAATAGTATCGTCCGTTTCCTGTTCGACAGAGACATGTAGCTTAACGTGACCCTCATGTGTGAACTTGATGCTGTTCGTGGCCAGGTTCGTGATGATTTGCCGCACACGTCCAGGGTCTCCCATAACCACGAGATCAATCCCAATATCTGAACAAATCTCGTAGTTAAAGGCTAAGCTTTTCCGCTCAGCGGTGAAGCTAAGCATCTTGCCGACCTCCTGAATAACAACGGCTAATGAAAACTGTACTTCTTCGATATCCAGTCGCCCAGACTCAATCTTTGAGAAGTCAAGAATGTCGTTGATTACAGTCAGAAGTGCGTTCGCGGAACGGAAAATATTCTCCGTTAGCTCTCGTTGCTCAGCATCAAGCTCAACATCAAGCAATAATTCCGCCATTCCGATCACACCGGTAATGGGTGTCCGAATCTCATGAGACATCTAGAACGATTAGTTCGGAAGCAATGTGGGAAGTGAGCTGATAAACTCACATTGGCCAAAAACTGGCTCTTGAGCCGGCTTGCTTCCTTTGCGGCTGCTTCATTGGCTAGAAGTTGTCTCTTCTCCAGTGCTTGAGCCTCAATGTCCCTTTCGCGATCCTTTAATTCGGTTACGTCCATTATAAAGCCCATGACGCCTTCGATGAAATCCTCTGTTGAGTTTCCGGTAAGAGGATCTCTCCTGAGAATGGGCTGAAAACCGGTGCGGTACCATCTGCCTGCTGAGTCTGTCGTTAGACTCTTCAAAACACTCAAATGCTTAGATCTGTGATGGTACTTACCAAACTTGTGGTCCTGCAGTTCCACCGGTGACTTTCCGCCAAGTATGGACTCAAGAGGCTGCAGAAAAGCAGGCGTTTGGCCATCCGGTAATTGTTGGTTGATGTTGTTGAAAACTTCGTAAACATCCTTCCCGATAAACCAAGAGGAGCTGCCACACTCCGGCGAGAGAGCATCCCATATTAACGATCCCTCCAGCAAGGTAACCTTTCGATTGGGGTCAACAGCGAACATGGTCATGCGTGAGTGAGCAATGACGCTACGTAGCTGTTGTCTTGTCCGCTTGGCTTCGAGCTTTGCTTCCATAGTTTCGTGCACATCAGTGCAGGTTCCTATGACAGTGGTTAGACACGATGCGTTTTGAGACAACAGAATGCCACTTACCAAACCACTTTTCAATTTCCCCTGTTTGTTTGTTCTTCAGAGGCAGCGCACGGCCAAGGAACCATCTCCACTCGCCATCTTTGCTGCGGCACCGGTACTCTATCACATATGGCTCGCCGGTTCGAGTTGAATTTTGCCATCGCTTGTCAGCCTCGGCCAAGTCATCGGGATGGAACGCCGTTCTCCAGCCTCCGCCTAGCGAAGCTTCTACGCTCAGACCTGTGTAGCTGTACCACCTGCTATTGTAAAAGTCATGTGCGCCGTCTGGTCCCGCAGTCCACACGAGCTGAGGCATGGTCTCGCATATCAATCTGAACCTTTCCTCGTCTGCTGCTTTGATCTGACTGATTTCATGCTCGATTCGCGTGATGTCCCTGCATGTTATCACACCCGCCAGAAGTTCGCCTGTGATCTCATCTCGAATCACTGCTCCCTCAACGTCGAATATTAGCCGCTCGCCGTCTGGACCCAGCATGCCGACTCTGAAGCTTTCAAAGGGCGTTTCACTTTTGATCATAAGAGATATTGGGTATTCATCGGTCTCCAGCTGTCTGCTGAAATCATCTGTCCACATTCTCCACTGTGACAAGAGGTTGAAACCTTCGTGGGGAGCGCCTTGCACAGGGTCTGGATAGGAGAGGCGCCGGGCAGGTTTGTTGGGAAGGATCACACTCCCGTCCTTCCACATGGCGATGATTGGCGTTTGTGTCTTATCCAGAAGGGCATCTTTCATGACAGTGATCTTTTGGAGCATGGAAGGAGCACTGGTGATGGAAGAGTGAGACGGAGGTCCAAGCGGAGGGAAAGGACTGGAAGACATGGCGACCGCAGAAGGACTTAGGGGAAAGGACGGAGAGCGAGAACGCGAATCACGACTTGATGTCAAAGAGGGAGGGTCGTTTATGCTATAAGGGTACTTTTTTTCAGCAGCATCCAAAACGTCACGCCTTCCAGCCAGCTTCTTGGCACCAACCGGGGGAACATACTTGGAATCGGTGTTGGTGAAAGTGAGGGTAAAAAAGGTTTGCTGCGGGCTCAACTGCCAGACCGAAATGATCATCTTGGCCTGTGCGTGGAATGTAGAACTTTCTGACCGGGCGCGGGTATGATATGTTGACCGGGCGATATCTCTCTTGACTATGACCACATCCACAACAGCGTTTGGTGATGGGCGGCAGGTTGTGTTGCCTGCATCCCCGTCACACACGCCATCTCCTGGTTGAGCCGATGTCGATCTAGACCGCGGTGAAGAAGTGGAAGCCGATGGAGGGAGCTCTGCTTGGCGTGGCGTAGCGTCTCCGTCGGGATCAGTTTGCAAAACAGACTTCAAGATTTCTTTTCCCCCGCTGTTTCCAACTCCCATCTCGAGGGCAATCTGGTCCAAAAAGTGCTCCCATGCAATCCAAACCGGCATGCCATCCTGGATAAGATCGATACCAACTTGAGACAGAGTCTGGCCACGGAGTTGGTCCATTGTCGAAGACAGATCATCCCCCTCTCCCGTCGCATCTGACGGCATTCCCAGTAGCCTTCCCATGGACTCATTAGCCAGTACCACTGTTTTGAGGCTATCCAAGACCAGGATTGGAACGGGTAGAAATTGCATGGCCGAAAAGGCAAGCTGGCCCGGAGTTATGAAGGGCATTGTGAGGCGCAAAGGGCTCGACGACTGACTTCGGCGTACTTGAGGAGTCATGGAAGGCGGGCCTCGCCAGAGGCGCTCCGAGTTCCCCTGGGACAAGGTTGTCCTGTCATCTATTAAACTTTCCGACGGAGGTTCGGGATGAGACACGGAGTTCCCCTCCGGTAGTGCTGATGGCATGTCGGGGTCCTGTGGGAGTTGCGTCTCTTGGCGGGCGGACCGGGGCTCGTCCTGCAAGACAGGGTTGTCATTGTCGTCTGGGGAGGATCGAAGACCGGGGCCCATGTCGTCGTCCCGTAATTGGGTCGTACGAGATCCTGTTGGTCTGCGGAACTCGTAAATCGGCAGGGCTTGTTCGATCGCAGAAGCGTGTTGGATACTTGTCGACCTGGGAAGCTCGGAAAGGACGAAAGAAAGGCTAAAAGTTAAAGGACGGCAAGGACCTCTGATGCTATGACTGAAGAAGTCGAACCTTGAGCATGGCGTCCGTGGCTCGAATATCGGTCGGAAAGTGGCTGTTGAGGATGTGACCGAGGTGGTTGATCAACCGGGCGGGTGGTAACCACTGGGGCAAGGGAACTGGAATGCGGAGAGGAAGCGTCGGGCGTAGCCGATCCTTTGGCTGGATGTTTCAACGAGGGAGAAACGAAGCCGGCGAAGCCCAATGGTAACAATTTCCGTATGTAGTATCAATGCAGAAAGTGATCAATCCTTTTTTGTCGGTCCGAGATTAAAATAGGTACTATAGGCTTAGTTGGCCTTGTGTCGTTGGCTGTCTTGAGAATCGCGAGGCTTTTTTGGGGGGGTTGAAGCAAGCTGTTCCGTGGTTGTACGCCGCGGTAGTTGTCGGTCAAACTACAAGTAAATCCCAAGAGATGGTGGTGTATGCGCAGTGTTGAAGATAGTAGCGGATGCTGGAGGTTGGAAATCAATGGGACGGGAGTCGACGAGGAAGTGGTGGGAAGAAAGAAACGATGGAAGAAGTCAATGAAGTGGAAGAATGAAGTGGAACTATAAGGCCGAGACTTTTCGCTACTTCTCGGTCACCGGTTCAGAGTAAAGTAGCTAAGTACTAGTCAAGTTGAGATTGCCAGGCCCATGGGAGAAGTGGAAGTGGAAGTGGGACTGAAGCGGAAAGAACAAAACGGGAGCGGGCAAGCAGCTGGAGAATGAGCGGAGGTGCAGGAGCGAGCAGAGCAAACTAAAACCAGACGCAGCCGCAGCGAAGAGGGAAAGCACTCTATGTACATGGATTGGCCCTACGACTAGGGCAAGGCAACCTAACCGAGCGAGGCCCTACCGGCAAGTACTAACCTGAGGTAGGTCTGGGCCAGGTCGCAGATCTCCCAAGTGACAGGAAGGAAGAACTGCGAACTGCAGCGGGCTCCACCACACGGAGAATGGAGGCAGGTGCGGTTGAGCTTGTAGAGGTAAGGCAGCTGCAAAAGTCGTGACTTTGCGGTGCGTGCAAGAGGTAAACGAGTCTTGCTGGGGCCGGCTGGGAGGATTGAGTGGGTGGAAAAGGGGACTTGTGACAGGTAACCGTCTTCATTTCCCAATCCGATCAAAGAAAGAACTTTCTAAGAAAGGATAAACCTCCTCAGGTCGTTATGTTTCGAACGAGTCCCATCATTCCGTTAAGTATCGACAAGCATGGCAGGCCGTTATAATCGGATACCTTGTTCAACAACTTTCACGTACTTTGCCGTTGGCCCATGTCGGTGATTGTTGCAAGACTAGCCGTCTTGTCATTATGAATTCGGCGTGTCAAGACCAGGACAGCACTTTCAGTACACATGCGCATAACGATGAAGACTTGGAGAGGGTAAAGGCGTGACGGGGCGGCGGACAGACCACAGCAGCGCACTTCATTCGCCATGCTTTCGTGGTCGTCTCTACGCCTCACTAGGTCTGCGAGAGCACTTCAGGTTGCTTGCAGCTGAGTGGTTTGATGCGTCGACGCGTACAAGCGCGGAGAGATCGGACTGTAACCTCGACCATATCAATGTAGCGGTCGAGTGGCGACAAAAAAAAAAACACCAGTGAGGTCTTGTTGCGCTCGATTTGAAGCCATCACGAAGCCCATCACGGGGCCTAAAAAGCCTTCTTTTCTGGGATATGGAAGAGAGGAGAATACCGAGGGTTACTAAGTGGGAACAAGGCCGGGACACGTCCAACATATCGAGTGCGCCGTAAAAGCTTTGGTTTCGCTTGTCGTTGTCTGGAATTCCGGGGGAGGACCCTGTTGGAGTGAGGATCGCAAGCCCATAGCCCGGTCTAGACCTCAGGGTCCAAGGCGGTTCAAGGCGGCCCAATCGAGCCCAGACTTTGTCACCGGTTCGTGAGTTGTGGCCTTGTGGGTGTGCATCTCGATTCGTTTGGCGCTTCAGCCGTATCGTGAGAAGAATCGACCAACAAGCGCTCCCGTCTTGTGTACCGCACACTTCCGTCCCTTCCGGCGTGTTTGTGTAACCACAGCTTGGGAAATGCCGTCTTAAGGGAGAGTTGTCGTTGTCTTGGGAGCCAGTACAATCCAATCCCTCGGACAGAACCAACATGGGATCTGGGCACAAGGTGCGACCCATTGTCTTAGTGTTCCACTCGTATCAAGTTTTTTTCTCGAGCTAGATAGGTATTAATGACCATATGCTTCTTTCAAAGATGAAAAAAGGAAGAAGAAGACGAAGAAGAAGAAGAAGAAGAAGGACTTCGCAAGGTTGGAGGGACGTGCGTGCCTGAACGATGCCTGTTTGGGTAGGTAGGCAGAACGCAGTCAACCTACCAGTTGGCGGGTAGCTGTCAAGGGCTGACAGCAACCCCGCCTTTTAATCATCACATCTCTTCCTCAGCAGCTTGAACCTTCCGCTTCCCGTCATTTCTGCGTTCCTCTTGATGCACTAAGATGGGACAATCTGGTGTTCTGGTTGAATTATCTTCAATTCCATCAGTCCCATTTACTATGTCGGAAGTACAGCAGGCATTGTGCACATCTCAGGTCTCAGAAATCAGAGACAGGCACTGCGACTAGTAAAGTGACCATCCGACATGCCATGCATAGTAGTGTGACGGCCAAACATGAGAAATTGATTCACGGCAAACTGCAACCGCCCACCACCTACTCGCAAAGAGATTGAGCGCAAACAAGTTGACATGGTTTCTTTGCCTCAACCCTTTGTCGCTGCGGCAAATGCCTTAGCAGATAAACAACAGGGGAAAATGAGATGTAGGCTCTAAAGAAGACCGCGACGGCCAGTGATCAGCATCAACACATCCGGTCCGTGTCCGAATGTGGATCTACCGGCTCCGATAGCTCCTCCCAACAAACCCTCCGGGCATGTGAATCAGGCCTCGGACCTGACTCGGCAGGTCTCCGATTCGGAGGCTCTCACACACCCCACTCCGTATCACTGCCCTGATGTCCCGTCTTCCACTTCCTGCTAGACGGGGCGGACGCAGCACCCCCACATGGTTCCCGACAAGCACCGCTCAACCTTCGAGTCTTCCCACTTCCACGTCGCCCCGTTCACGTGGGGGGTCACGTCGTCAGGCACCCTTTCAACTCCCGAAGCTATCCCCGAATCAACCAGAGAAACGCGGGAACCCCCAGTCGTCGTATCAAGGTTGAGCCTCAAAGTAGAGGGATTTGTAAGACAGATGCCGAAAGTCACCTCCGCTTCGCCTAGATCCCACTGAGGACCCCACACATGGATTGGCCAAAGGGTTGCCAAGGCCCATGGGGGGGTGGTTGTGGTGCTTCGCGACAGCTACGGGAGGTATTGTACGCTCTGGTTGGTGGATAGCTGATTAATTCATCCCCTTGGTCGTCGTCCAGTCATCGGCGCTGTTATTGTCAGTGTCGCCGTATCATTGACCCTTGCATATCAGATCTGGGGCCGAGACAGACTTGTAACCACCACATGGAATATCCGGGGAACCAGGCCTGACAGCTTGGGGATTCAAAGGAGCGCGTCAGAAGAAAGATACGGACCAAACTGTTGGTGACAGCCTCACTCGTCAATGTCACCACCATCCATCATGGTGAACATCAATCAAGACCAATCAAAACACCGCTATCGGACTTGCAAACTTTAGCCGGGATGTCCTGCCTCAGCCGGTAGCCTATAGTTCACCGGCTCATCACTGCTACACTACCCACTCCCCGGCTTTCGCTTGGTGCTGCGGGGATGTGGGCAACCAAGATCTTCATCAGTCCCACTCATTCCGTCCTCGGGATCCGCTACGACGTACTGTGTAAATGCCATGTTTGAAGAACTCTTCATTCCTACGCACACTGGCCGAGGTCTCGCTATGTACTCCTCGTTTTCCTTGATCAATATCTGTTTCTTACCTAGTCGTCTGCACTTGCTTAGTTGAACCTTTTCCCCAGCTCTAGATACCCCGGATTGTACTGGCAATCCCCTTGCTTTTCTTCAACAACCGACACCATGGCCGAAACTTATACCGTGCCCTTCTTCATCAACGGCGAGGAAGTCCGCACGTCCAGGACTTTTGATGTCACGTCCCCAGCAACCCAAAAGGTTGTGCACAAGTGCAGCAGCGCTACGGATACCGAGGTTCAGGCTGCCGTGAAGGCCGCGGCACAAGCTTTCAAGACATGGAGGAAATCACACCCTAACCAGCGTCGTGACCTTTTCCACAAGGCGGCCGAGATCTTGGAGAAGAGAAAGGAGGAGTTGGGCCAGTACGTGATGGACGAGACGGGTGCTCCACGCCAATGGGCCGACTTCAACATTCAGGTTGCCAAGGACTTGTTGATGGATGTGGCCGGGAGATGCAACACGTTGGAAGGGTCGTTCCCCGTAGTCAACGACCCCGAATCGGGGGCCCTCGTCTTGCAGGAGCCCTATGGCGTTATCCTCGCCGTCGCCCCTTGGTGAGTCCAGCTTTAGGCGGCGGCCAAGAGAGATGGTATTCCACTAACACCTTGCAAGGAACGCCCCCTACATTCTTGGTATCCGCTCCATCCTCTACCCCATTGCCGCCGGCAACACCGCCATCTTCAAGGCCACCGAGCTCTGCCCACGCACCATGTGGGGCCTCTGCTCCGTCTTCCACGAAGCCGGCCTCCCCAAAGGCGTCCTCAACATGCTCGTCCACGAGCCCGCCAACGCCCCCGCCATCACCAGCTCGCTCATCTCCAACCCGCAGATCAAGAAGGTCAACTTCACCGGCAGCACTGCCGTCGGCCGCATCATCGGCCGCCTGGCCGGCGAGAACCTCAAGCCCGTGCTGCTCGAGCTAGGCGGCAAGGCCTCGGCCATCGTCTGGGAGGACGCCGAGCTCGACAACGCCGCGACCCAGTGCGCTCTGGGCGCCTTCCTCAACTCGGGCCAGATCTGCATGTCCACCGAGCGTATCCTGGTGCACAAGTCCGTCCGCGCCGAATTCGAGAAGAAGCTCGTCCGCGCCGTCGAAAACATCTTTGGGCCCCCGACGCCCGCACCGGTCCTCATCAACTCCCTCGCGGTCGCCAAGAACAAGAAGCTCCTTGAGGATGCCTTGTCCAAGGGCGCCAAGCTGCTGTACGGCAACCCTGACGCCCAAGAAGAGACCACAACGCGCATGCGCCCGGTCATTGTAAGTGGAATTACCACCGACATGGACATCTACAAGACCGAGAGCTTTGGGCCCACGGTGGCCGTGTATGAGATCGAGACCGAGGAGGAGGCGCTAAGGATCGCCAACGATACCGAATACGGATTGACGAGCGCCGTGTTTACGGAGGACTTGAGAAGGGGATTGCGCATGGCCAAGGAGATCGAGACGGGCGCGGTGCACATTAATAGCATGACGGTGCATGATGAGGCAACGCTGCCCCACGGTGGCGCGAAGGAGAGCGGATATGGGAGGTTTAATACCAACCGGGGGTTGGCGGAGTGGGTTAAGAGTAAGACTGTTACTTTCAAGTTTTGAGTTCGAGTTTGCGAAGTAGGGGCTGGGTAGATGAGGGGGGAAGAAAAGGGGGGAAAGTCTGGCGATGTGTACATTTTGGATGGGCAACGCGAGGTCATCGTCAAGAGGGGGAGAGAGAGGAAGGCAGCAGTGCAAGCAAGCGTGCGTTGATAGATGTGTGTTTGAGCGATCTACTAAGTAAGGCTATGATGGATAATGGGATCTCGTGGGAATCGCTTCGTACGCATTATCTTCGCCTCATTATGTGTCTAGCCATGGTGTTTTCGTTTTGTTCCTTTACATGTACAAAGGACCACCGCTACTGTAGTGATCATCGCTCTTCTCTCCTTTCCCCCTTTTTTGGCTCACGCCGAGCAAAGATCCGCAGTCTCCGTATGTTTTGATCATGGGGACGGGTTTACAGGGATTGCCAAGACCGCGAATTCACAAAGCAAGTAGGTCTTGCATTGCCATGAAAATCACTGAGAAGGAGCCTATAGCCAGGGAAAAAAAGGAAAAAAAGAGGGAGAGAGGGAAAACAAAGAGAAAAACTGCCAGCTATGGAAAGTAGATAAGGATAAGAAAAATGTTCAAACTGACAGGCGATAATAATGTAGTGAAGATCTTCTGCAAAAGTGTTTATGATATTACACTACAAAATATCGGAATTCGGCGTCCTCAGCCGTCAGCCGCCTTCCTATTTGGTGGCCGTCTGGTGGGGAAAACTTGTAGGGACAAGCCACTAACAAGCCGATGTTTTGGGGGATCATCTTCAGACCAAGAACAACAGGCAGGCAAGGCCGTTTGAAGGGATATCCGCGGCTTTGAGGATCCACGGTAGATTCCTGTTGTAGGTTGTATGTACACTATGTTGTCCTCTACACTATATAGAAAGCTAGGACCCCTTTTCCGAAAGTCAGCCTGTTTATCATTGACTCTGTACATGTTTCGAGTGTTTCAGGTTCCTACTAGGTACCTAGTCATCGAGCGTACGTGAACAAACCTAACTCGTGGAGATAGTATCAGCGAGTCCTTGCACCAAAAGTAAAGTCGAATGCCCCATCTTACCCCGCGTTTCGTTTTGGAGCTTATCAGTTTCACTAACATCAATCAGCCTTTCTACTAAAGAATACTCAGAACTAAGTTTGAGAGACTTATTCCGATCAATTTCTTATTGACTATCACCAGAGGAAGAAAAAAGGTGAAAGATGGGATCGTCAGTCGATAACAGAATTCCCGTTTGGCTAGATTGCGATCCGGGTCACGATGTAAGTTCAGCTCGGGTGGTGCAGGACGGGAGTTACGCCCAAGTCGGTCGCGACGGGATGCAAGAGAAACGGGAGACACAAGAAAGAGGTCGGCATCTCCCGTTGGATCTGCACTGTCGGTGCGATGCGAGTGCAGGTGCATCCATTCCCGGTTCGGCTCTATTCGGTTCAGTTCGAGGTCAACTTTCGGCGGCACTTTACTTCATCATAGCTCGGCTCTCTCCACCTGTTCGTCTCGCGAAGTCGTGGCGGGCGCGGTGAGAGAGGATGAGATGAGATGATATGCATCCAAGTACCTACTGATGGCATCGGTGCTACCTACCTACCCGCCGACGACGAAGATGGGAATGGGGAATGAGGTTGATCAACATTTCAAAATTGCAGACATTAACGAGTCGATGTGAACAGGACACCTTCGCCATTCTCCTAGCCGCCTACCACCCAGCCATCCGCATCCTGGGTATCTCTACAGTCTTTGGCAATGCATCCTTGGAGTAAGCCACTTGACCTGTTTCTTCATCTCACTCAGGCCGTGTCTGTCTTAACACATATATCACAGAAAAACAACCCGCAACGCCTGCTCCATCCTCACCTCCATCTCCCGCTCGCACTCCATCCCCGTCTACATCGGCGCCTCACACGCCCTCCACCGGCCCCACCTGCACGCGCCTACCGACATACACGGCGAATCCGGCCTAGATGGGACCAAGCTGCTCCCCACGCCTCTCGTCGGTCCCGACACCTCCGTCGACGCCGTAACCGCCATGTCGACCGCCTTACGCTCCTGCGCCCCTGGAACCGCCTGGGTGGTAGCCACCGGCAGCTTCACCAACGCCGCACAGCTCTTTTTGAGCCACCCAGATCTCGTCAGCCACATCAAGGGCCTCTCCCTCATGGGGGGCGCGTTCGGCACCGGCTTCACTCCCGCCATCCTGGGCACCGTCGACGGCGTACCCCGCGTGGGCAACTGGACGCAGTTTGCCGAGTTCAACGTCCTTGCCGACCCGGAAGCAGCACACGCCATCTTTTCCAACAAGGAGCTGGCAGGGAAGACGACGCTGATCCCGCTGGATTTGACGCACATGGTTTTGACGACGGAGCAAGTCCGCGATCTGATTCTTTACGGGCCCGAGGGCAAGGAGGCGCACCCGGAACTGCCGCAAGATGGAAGCAAAGGGAAGACCACCCTGAGAACCATGTTGGTGGAGCTGCTCATGTTCTTTGCCAAGACGTATGCGGACGTGTTTGGGATCACGGAGGGCCCGCCGCTGCATGATCCGTTGGCGGTGGCGGCTGTGTTGACGGGATTGGTGGGCACCCCCCTCGAGGAGTATCAGATTCCTTTTTGGGATTTTTCTCCAGGGACTGTGGAGAAGCACAGAGAGAGGTTTGAGGTTACGGTGGTGACCGAGGGGAGTTACGAGGATGCGAGGGTCAACGGGGCGAAGACGGGTATGACGGTTGCCAAGCCCCTGCCCGAGGGTGAGGAGGGTGTGAGGATACCAAGGGGATTGGATATTCCGCTGTTTTGGAAGGTGTTGGAGGAGTGTGTGAGCAGAGCGGATGAGGCGAATGCGAGGGGGGATGATGTGCTTCCTAACTAACTTAAAGGGGTTGTGGGTTGTCGGATTATAAAGGGCTTGGTTGTGATGAGATTTTGACTGAACGGTTTACAGGACGTAGATGGCACAAGGGAGATTTGCACTGCAGAATACCCACATCTAGTCTAGAGGACGCTGCTTGGAGACTTCATGACAGTTCAGTTTGTAGACATAGATTATAGAACTACGGTATATCACTGGGTATATTATCATATCTTCCTTCGATCCCTACTCATCGGCGATGTCTTACTCCTTCGCCTTATTCTTCTCAATGACCTTCATCACATCCGCAAAGTTGTTCTTATCACCGCCCTTCTTTCCACCGCCCCGCTTGCGTTTCCCCTTACTACTCCCAAGGCCCGCCTTTCCACCTCCTTCATATCCATCATCGTCTTCATCCTCACCCCACTCAGACAACTTGACTTTTGATGATTCGTCCAAATCGGCATCGTCCTCCATACGACTCGACCCGAAACCCATATCCAGATCTTCGTCGTCTCTGCTGCTCTCCAGCAGCTTCTTCCGTAGTCGTGCTTCCCGCTCGGCTGCCAGTCTCTCCTCTTCGGATTTCTCGGCGGCGCTGATGGCCTTTGCTTTGGCCAGCGCGGCGCGGAAGGAGGGGTCGTCAAGCGAGGGCTTCTTGTACTCTTCTTGCGAAGTGAGCCCGGTCTTGGAATCTTTGAAGTAATTCCTCGGTCCGGCGGCTGCTGGTTCTGGTTTCGGTGGTGGAGGCATATCTGACAAACTCTTCTTCTCTTTCTTCTGGGTGTCCTCCACCTCTCCGTCCTCCTTATCTGACTCGTCATCAGAACCACTTTCCAACCCAGCTAGCGGATCGTAATCAGACTCGACATCGTCAAAAATATTCGGCTCTTTATCCTCCTCTGCCGCCTCGGCCGCTTTTTTCTCCTCTTCCAGCTTCTTGTAGTACTCGGGCACATCCATACCGAGAACCTTACCCTGCGCGAGCGCTTCTCGCTCCTTCTCGTACTCTTCCTGCGTCTTATTTGGGTCGAGTCTTCGAACTTTGCGTCGCTCGTTGCCGTCTTCATCGACGATGATCATGATCTCGTTTCCTCTGTCGTTACGCTCTATCCTCGTTTCCGCCTGCTTCTTGGGTCCGATCTTCTTGAACCTGGACCCCAGACTCGACTCCTGCTTGGCCTTGGCGGCAGCGCGCGCGGCTTTCAATTCGGCCAATATTTGATTTCTTGTCTTCTTTGCACCCGCCAGTAATGTCGTGGTTGCAAACTCGCCCTTCTTTTGCACTTTTTCTTTTTCCTTGGCTTTAACTGCGGCCGATTCGAGTTGTTCGAGCACATCATCCGCGTCGCCGTCCTCCTCGCCATCCGCTCGTTGCTCATTCTCTTCGGTCTCTTTTTGATTCTCTTCCACCTCAGGCGACTCCGACTCCGACGCATCCTTCTTCTCACCAAAAACATCCACTTCCCCCTTCCTCACCCTCTCCAAAAGCTTGAAATCCAACCCCTTCACCAGATGCGCTGTCTCCAGGCCACCTCCCCCGCCAATGATCTCCACTCGCAAGCGCTCATACTCCTCCTTGTCGATCTCCTCCTTCTTGTACCGCTCTTCCAGCTCCTTCAGCTTGCGCTCCCGCTCGTCCGCCTCTTCTTGCGCTTGTCTCTGCTTGGCGCGATCGACGTATCCTTCGGCGAGCCTGCTACCTTTGGGTGCAGAGGTTCGAATCTTCTTGTTGGGATGTTGTTGTTGTGATGATGATGGAGAAGAGGAGAGGGTCTGATTACGCTCGGCGAGTTGGCGGGCGAATTCGTTGCGGGGATTGAAGCCGGCGACGGAGCGAGGGGTCATGGGGATCGAAGAGCGGGCTTTGGAGCCTAGAGCGAGCGTGCGCGGGGTGCTGTTGCCTGCTGGCGCTGGCGCTACCGGAGATTTGGAGGTGTTCGAGGAGGGTGGTGATGTACTGCCATTTTGGTTGTTATTTTTCTGGGAATTAGCGAGAAGAAGACGACGGAATTGTTCGTTATTCATGTTGGCGGTGTGATGATTACCGCGTTCCGGTGATGGATTGCCGCGGGGGAATGGTCATGGAGGAAAGAAGAATGGCGAAAGATGACGGGATGATGCGAATGTTGAATGATGGCAGTCCAGCCTCGGGAGTTGAGGCGCGAGGCTGGAGGAATAGTGGCGTCCAGTTGAGGCTTGTGGGATCTGCAACAGAGGCGGGACGGGAAGTGGGACGAAAGGGACCAGCAGTGAACCCTCAGCGGAGACGGCAGTCACGGGACCTCGCATCAAAGCGGACCGCGGTTTGACGCGCTCCCGCCACGTCCACCGAATATGGAAGTAACCTCATCGTTGAAGAAGTTGCCACTCGGTCAGATTTCCTTCACCTGCTGCTTGGTTGTGTATTATACTGTCAGTAGTGTATACCACATTCGAAAGCACTTTTTTTTTCTCACAATGCCGAAATGAGTTCTCACGACTTTTGCTGAACAGCACACTCAACAACTAGGATGCTTGACGGCGATTCATGGATGATGTCATAGCCATTTTGGGCATTATTTCCATCGCATGAATGGATTAAATTGGACCTTTGGATATCGTGATCAAGTTACTCGTCACCATGGTTGGAAATCACCTTCTCGACAAGAACTCGGCTGCCGTACGGAAGAACATCGAGAACCATGCCTTCAACGATGAAGGCGGCGACGAGTACGGGGCCAGTCGCTTTGGAGGGTTCGCCGACTACTTCCAAAACAAAAACATCAAGCTCCAGAACCGCGACGCCCAGTTGCGCTCTTCCGCCAAGGACAAGCCTCAGATCTTCAAGGGAGTAGTCATCTATGTTCTTGGGTACACGCAGCCTTCATCCAGCGACCTACACGACATATTGGTCCAACATGGCGCTGGCTGGCTCCAGTATCTCGGTGGGAAGACAATGGCGACGCACATCATTTGCTCGTCTATACCACCAAAGAAAGCTGCAGAGCTGGCCAACTACCGAGTGGTCAAGCCGGCTTGGGTGGTGGATTCTGTTGCAGCGGGAAGGATGTTGTCCTGGACCGAGTACCGGGTCATCGACGAGGGACCGAAACAGCGCACCATCAAGTTTGATGCTGGGAAAATGTTGAGTAGCCAACCGCGACAACAGACTCCTCAGGGGTACCGAGAGCAAACTGAAAATAGCTTCTACACCAGCCAGTTGAAGAAGTTCAGCAGCCCGGCACAGCCAAAGACTCCCTCCAAAATTCCCCCAATTGTAAACGATAAAATCGAGGACTTCGAGGATGATATGTCAGTCGATCTTTTGCAAGTGCCACCTTCATCCAAGTCAGAGCCCCTTGCCCTCGCTGAGCCCGACGGGCCATCAGACGAACAATTCAATACTCCTCCGTACCAAGCTCCTCTTGAAGCTGCTCCTGAAGCGCAACCTACTACGCCAGATATCGCCGAGCCAGAAAATTCAGAGCCAGAAAAACCGAATGAATTGCATGCAGCCAAACCAATCACCTCGGAAGAGCACAACGCTAGGCTACTCGCGGATCCGAAGATGAGAAAAGCTTCAACCGCAAATCCTGACTTTCTTAAACAATACTACTCTGAAAGTCGTCTGCATCACCTGTCTACGTGGAAGGCACAGCTAAAGTCTCGTATGCAAAACCTTGCTGCTGAAGAAGGCCCAGCCAAAAAGTTGGCTAAGCGGCCTGCTGGTTCTCGTCGGTACATCATGCACGTCGATTTTGACAGCTTCTTCTGTGCTGTCTCCCTCAAGAAGGCGCCCGAGTATCGTGACAAGCCAGCTGTGGTAGCTCATGGTAATGGAAAAGGTTCCGAAATTGCTTCTTGTAATTACCCAGCCCGCAAATTCGGCGTCAAGAATGGCATGTGGATGAAGCACGCCCTAGAGCTATGTCCAGATCTCAAGATCCTGCCATATGATTTTCCGGGGTATGAGGAAGCCAGTCGGCAATTCTACGATGCTATCCTCGGAATTGGTGGCGTTGTTCAGAGTGTCAGTATCGATGAGGCCCTCATTGATGTTACTGATATCGTCATGGCTGAAGCTGGGTCCAGCGGCATTGGCATCAGCGAAGGAAGCATCTGGAGGGAACAGGAGAAAGTAGATCAGATGGCTTCGAAGCTTCGAGATCGTATCAAGGAGCAGACGGATTGTCATGTCTCTGTGGGCATCGGTGCCAACATCTTGCTGGCCAAGGTTGCCCTTCGCAAAGCCAAGCCAGCTGGACAATACCAAATCAAGCCGGAAGAAGCGCTGGATTTCCTCGGTGAGCTCAACGTAGAGGACCTCCCAGGCGTTGCGCATAGTATCGGTGCAAAACTTGAGGAGCTTGGTATCAAGTTCGTCAAGGACATACGACAGACCAGCAAGGAGAGACTAATTTCGGCATTGGGCCCGAAAACAGGAGAGAAACTGTGGGAGTATTCCCGGGGTATCGACCGCACCGAAGTTGGGGAGCAACCCATCCGAAAGTCGGTGTCGGCCGAGGTGAACTGGGGCATCCGCTTCGTCAACCAAGAGGAGGCAGAGGAGTTCGTGAGGTCCCTTTCACAGGAACTGGAGCGTCGTCTGTTGAGTGAGGGCGTCAAGGGTAAGCATCTAACCATGAAGATCATGAGACGAGCGGCCGATGCTCCTCTTGACCCACCAAAACATCTCGGTCACGGCAAATGTGATACCTTCAACAAGAGTGTGTCCTTTGGCGTTGCGACCAACAGTGAAGAGGTGATTGGAAAGGAAGCCGTTGCAATCCTGCGCTCGTACAAGTTCAGCCCGGGCGACCTTCGTGGGTTGGGGATCCAGATGACCAAGCTGGAACCTTTTAAGCCGTCTGCTGCACAGCAGGGAAGCCAGAAGAAATTGAGTTTTGGTGCAGCAGCGATATCCTCGGCGAAGAAGCGGAAGGCCGAGGCCATTGATGACGAGCCTCAGAGTCCGGCAGAACATAGGCCTTTTACGGAACGTGATGAGAAGGATCCTATCACCGCTGATCCGCCCACACCTCGAAAACCGAAGGTTCATCCAGCATTGCATCTCGCAAGGGCTGGTGAGGCAGATGAGAAGGCCAAAACGCCGCTCAATGTCAAAGGAACTCAGTTTATCATGCCTTCTCAGCTCGACCCAGCTGTGTTGGCTGAGTTACCAGAGGACATTCGGACTACGATAGTAAATCAAATGAAGGCACAACCCAGTAGGCGCACAGATTCCACGCCTCCTCAACTGAACAGCAGGAAAGCCCTTCCAACCCATGCAGAAATCCCACCCGACATTGACGTCGACGTGTTCAACGCTCTCCCGCCATCAATGCAAGCCGAAGTCCTCGCTTCCTACCGCCGCAACACACCACAAGCAAGTCCAAGCCGCCCGCCGCCGTCTCAAGGGGGTGGTGGCGGACAGACTCTTCTCCCGCAATCTCCCCGCAAAGACCGAATCATCAATCGCCCCATCGACCGTCTTCGCACGCCCACCAAGCGCGGCCGCGGCCGTCCCCCAGCCTACTTGAAGGAGAAAGAGCGTGACCTCAAAGCCGGTCTCCGGCAAGCCTCCCTCATCACTGCAGCCCGCTCACCAGATCAGGGTCAGGGTCAAGGTCAGGGTCAGGGTGGTCCCAGCGATTATTCCCGACAACCTTCGGTCGAAATCGACCTCCCTCCATTAGACCCCAATGTCCTGTCCGAACTCCCTGAAGAGGTCCGGCGGGAGGTAATTGAGGAGCACGCCCGCCAACGCCGGCAGCTTCAGAGGCAGGCTCAAGAGACAGCCACCGCGGCGCAGCAGCAACAACAAGAATATAGTCGGCATGTCCATTTGATCGCCGTAGACATTGAGTCTGCTAGGCACTACCTCCTCCGCCGTCGACAAGCGGGCAACAACAACAACATCAACAACATTAACAACAACACCTCACGATTCCTAGGTAACCAGCAAAACCCACCAACAAACCAACCTTACCACGATGACCGGCAATTCCCATCACCCATCGCCGGCGGCGGCGGCGGCCGTTACTACTCTTTCTTTGGCCCCCCACCAAACTGGGGCCGCACAAACCGCGATCTTCGCAGGATCCACTGGCCCGGCCCTCCTACCAAGACGACCCTCAAATCCGCGGCCTTGCCTGCGGGCGGCGGGCAGATGAAGGTGACGGACGCGGCGGCAGTGAGGAGGATGATTCGGGCGTGGTACGTGTCGACAGCGAAGCAAGGGGGCCCAAGTCTGATCGATATGGAGGCGTTGGAAGAATATTTGTACAAGGTCATAACATTAGAAAGAGACATGGAGAAGGCTAGGGGGTTGATTAAGTGGTTGGAGTGGTGTGTTGAGGGAGAGGGAGAGGGGGAGGGGGAGGGGTCTGCTGGTGGGCATGGCGATGGAGATGGAGATGGGGATGGGGATGGAGATAAATTGAACAAGGAAGTGGACGACGGAGTGAGGAAAGACTCTGAAGAGAATGATGTACATGGGGATGAAGACGGTAGTAATGGTGTTGAAGATGATGATGATGATGATGGGATACGAGACCAAATACAAATAAGCGAAAAGAAAAAAGGCAAGATGACGGCCAAAGAGATATATACCTGGCCAGAGGCGGTAGAAGCCATCAAGGCTTCGGTGCAAGAGGCCATGAAAGAGCGGGGATTGAAGGAGATGGATTTCTCTTGATGAGCTGAGCTGCCTTGGGTAAATATTTAGTGTAGAAGAAGAGTAGCCTATGTAGTTCTAATGCCTCGATCAGGAGGACTGCGGCCGTTGACAACATAAGACTGGATGGGATATGTGTATCTTTTTCTATAAGAGGTTTAGAGTTGGTTCACTCGAGGGAGGGCGTTTGCATTTATCTGTCAAGGAATCACGATAGATAAATAGATACCCTTAAATAGCTAGCTGTATGCAATGAACGAAAATATTCGGTGTTAGTGTTTCTTTCTATCTCCATTCAGAAGTTATATTATACCCTTTTCTTTTCCTTATTTTTCTCATTCCATTTTCATCATGTTGTTATTCTTGTTATACAGTTGCCACATTTCAAAACACCCCGTCGTGCAAAATCTTACGAGTGTTGTTGATATCAGCTTGTCATTGGTTCTATGACTTGGTACAACAGAAATGCTTTCTGTCTCTCTCCCTCTAGACGTAGCTTATTTACTACCCTATCCCTACCTAGGTAGCCTCACTCATTCATACCTTAAATGAGTGATCAGGTATGTATTTGTACATTTAGGAACCCACATTTACCTGTTGTATTTTGGAAGACGATTAGGTATTGCGAGTACCTTCATCATATGTAACCGTTCCTATTTCGAATGTACTAGAACCCAAGATAGCCTTCCGTTTTTACAACAACCAAAGGCAGAAAACGTAATTCGAATTTCAACCATACAACCGACGGCGGATCTCATCTTAGAAAAGGTAGGGTTAACCACTGTCTGTCTGTTCAACAAAGCAATCATGGCTTATATGTATGTAGCTTGTTTGCAACACGCTTTTATGCTTCCATGCTTGACACCACTACAGCACAAAGAAACTATACCAACCCACAAAAATGATGCAAACTCCTAATTCTTGTTCACAAAATTCCGCTAAGGCTCCCTTACTCTTTTTGATATAGATATACAAAAGAGACTGCCATGAGGAGGACTTTTCCAGTCCGTTCGCTCTTTTGCAAGAAGAGAAAAAAAAAGAGCCCTTGGCAGCGGAGGGAAAAATACATTCCCTTCCCTTGCCACACAACCTTAACCTCGACGACCTCAACCAAGACTGTCTGCTCTGAAGAGCAAACATCATTTGGATGCCATCTCATCTGACACCTCTTGTAAGCGGAATACTTCGCCCATACCTTTGCCTTGCGGGCCTACTTCCTGACTACTACTATCCTTGGTAGTCGTTTCTGTCCTCCTTGTTCCCCCTTGTCTCCTTGCTCTTCCTTTCCTCCCCGCAGATCTGCCCGTCCTCTCTCTTCTACATGCTTATTTCCACCTCGCGTCTAACGAGATCCACTACCACCACCAGCACCAGGCGTCGATGGCGAACCAGAACCACCTCCGAGACCACTTCCGCTACTCTTCAACTTGAGCTTAATGATCTTCTTCTTTGGCTCGCCGCCATTGGTTGTGGCAGCAGGCGTCGGATGGATTGGGGAATGGGATTCCTTGAGGGGATGCGGTGCCTTTTCCTGAGGCGCTCCAGTAGGCAATGGTCTCCTTTCTTTTTCTCCGGATCCTGGCAACGGTTTTCTGTCCTTCTTGATGAGGAGACTTGAGCCGGAGGATAATACCCTGTCGCGATCTCCTCGGTCTCGGTCTCGTTCCCGGTCCCGGTCTCGGTCACCTCGATCACCTCGATCACCACGATCACGATCGCGCTCCCTGTCTCTATCACGATCACGGTCGCGCTCCCGATCACGATCCTTGTAACTGTCTCTATCACGATCGCTGTCCCGATCAGCTCGATCACGGTACTTGTCGCGAATCCGCTCCCTCTCGCGGTCAGTTCTCTCGCGGTCACGGTCACTCCTCTCGCGTTCCCGTTCCCGATCCCGATCCCGATCCCGATCGATGCGGTTCCGTTCCCGGTCACTGTCGGTGGTGCGACCGCCCCTGTCGCTATCGCCGCGGTCGGTTCCCTTCTCCCTGTACTTCTCACGAGGTCGGTCGCGCTCACGATCACTATCGCGATCTCCTCGTTCCCTGTACTTCTCTCTATCCCGCTCTTTCTCGCGAGGACGCTCATGCTCGCGGTCACTCTCGCGGTCCCGCTCCCGTTCCCTGTACTTCTCCTTTTCTCGCTCGGCACCACCACGGTATCTCTCCCTGTCGCTATCATTGCGGTCCTTCTCCCGGAATTTGCTGCTGTCTCTCTCCCTATCTCTGTCCCGTTCCCTGTCTCTATCCCTCTCCTTAATCCGCTGCTCCTTCTCAGCATACGATCCAGACGAGCCGTATCCGTTACCGGCAGGAGACTGCATCCGGCTCTTAGGGGATGAAGGCGCCGAACCGCTGCCAAATCCTACCGCGGCGCTCGACCGCTTGTGGACGGGTGTAGCAAGACTGCCGGAAATGCCTCTGGCGCTGGCGGCAAGCATTTGCTTTTCACGCTGACTTTGTTCGTAGTCGATGCTGCGCTGGGCGCGGGCAGACAGCTTGGTCCATTTCCTAAATGGTAGCGTGACGACTTTGGAGAGCTGGCCGTTGGCGTTGGGACGGACGGAGAATGAAGATGTGCGGGGAGGCGGAAGCTGAGGCGCGGATTCGCGGAAAGAGTGGCCCCTGATGGCTTCGCTTCGAGGAGCCTCTTTCTTAAAGGACTCGCTGCGGGGGAGATCTGTCTTGAATGAGCTATTGCGAGAAGGATCGCTCCGGAAGGAGTCGCTGTTGGTCTTGATGATCTTCTTCGGGCTAGGATTTTCAAGCAACTCGTCACTCTTGCGCTTGATGACTGGCTTGACGATCTTTGGCTTGCCCAAGTTGACAGTGCTAGGCCTTGGAACGGCAACGTCGTTGGACTGCTGGGGTTTGGGTGCAGGTACGGGGGGAGGTGAAGCCGCTTTTGGTACAGCTGTCTTGATGCCAGGCTGAGCGACGGGTGTATTGGGTGCGGGAGCACTTGGAACTGATGTGGGCAAGGGAGTGCGCGGACCGGCAGTCGTAGAAGGCCGAGGCACGGTCATTGCGATAGAGTCCTTCCGTACTGGTGGGGGAGCTTCTGGGACTGGTGACTCCCTAGGTTTCGCAATGTACGAAGGCCGTGATTGTAGCTTTACGATCGTCTTCTTCTCAGGGGGCTTAATCTCTACCCTGGCAGCCGACAAGTTGGTCGACGGTGCCGGTGCGGGTAGTGGCGCCGGAGGCGGTGGAGCTTCGATCGCAACCATATCCTTACTCTTAGGAAACGTCCGGTACTCCGACTTGAACTTGACGACACATCTCTTCTTCGGCGGAGTTCCGAGGATCTGTGGTGCATTGGCGACAATCGTCGGGTCGCGAGTTGCCTTCCAGACAATGGGATACTTGATAGTAACAAGTAGAGAATCTTCTGGTTCGAACATGGCCGAGCAGAGCTCCAATAGCTGGCGCTTCTCCTGTAGGCCAATGACGGGAGAATTAAATGCCTTCCATATGGATATTTGCATCTCCGTGTTCCCCCTCAGCTCTTCCTTGAGCGCATTAAGCGCGTGGGCAATGTCTTCTCTGCGTACTGCATCGAGCTTCCGTTGTTGGATCTCTGCGTCACCTTGATCGATGACGAGACCTCCATCATCAAGAGCTTCAAGTTCCTGTGTCGAAGCTTTGTTCTCGCCAAACGCAATGGCAGCGATTCCCCGGCAAAAGACCTTGAACAATCGATCGCGGATGAAGGGCGAACTATCGGTGCTCATGTATGAAAGTAGAAGCTTGAGAATAGGGGGTTTGGAGATCATTCCAAGCTCAACCAGGCACTCGAACGCCTTGATACGTACAAGATCAATGTTGTCGTCCTGGAGGTACTGAACAAAGTCGAGGGCCGATTCAGGGATGACACGAGCCTTCATGAGCCTCATCTTGCAGTGAAGAGCCGTTGTCGTCCAGATGTTCTGGTACGTCAGTGTCCATTCATCCATCCTGCGAAACTTGTCAATCTCCTCAATGGTCTTCTCAATGAAACTTTTGAATTCCGCATCGTCTTCATCGAAAGGATCCAGGTTTTTGATGAGGTATCCCTCGGTAATCTCCTTTTGCGGAATCACAGAGGTGGTGAGAGCATCGAGGAGTTTGGCGATGTAGAACTGGTCTGAAAACTCATTCTCCGAATTGTCATTAAACAGGAGCATCTCCATAATGAACTGTCGAGCCCTCTTAGAGCATCTTCCTTTCTCCTGCAGGTCCGTCGTCCGTGCAAGCACCGCGGGAATCGCACATTGGATGGCATACTGACCCTTGTCGGTAAAATCGTTGGGAGCGATCGGGTAGTGATAGCCACCCTCCCGGCCGGGAATTGGTACCTTCTTGCAGAAAAACTTGCGGAAACAGAGTATCAGATGGACCATGCCGATGTAGTTCAAGTCAGGATGTGCCTGTTTGGCGAGGTCTTCCAATGCCATCACTCGGACACCATGGTAATATCGTCGGTCCATCACTGTCCTCGTCTCGATCGTCGAGTGGACTGCATGCCTCTTTTCCCTCTTGAAAGCAAGCATGGCGTCCTGGTGGGCCACGACGTCTCTGTCCTGCTGTAGTTGTGCCAGATACATGTACTCCTGCATATCAGTCTTCATGAAGCAAAGCCACTCCATGTTAGCATCAAGCCGGATCCATTCATAGGATTCTTGATCCATCTTGGTTTGGACCTCTGAAGCCCAGTCTTGTAACCCCCAGTCCTCCATATCCTTTTGGCTGGTAAGGACATCGCCCAACATGTTAAAGTAGACAACATCGTCCTCCTGGATCTCGTGTTTGTCACTATTGCTGTTGGCAGCCGCGGCCATGGCCTTTTTGGTTCTTTTCAGACGCTTGTACTTTGTGTTGTACGCAATCTGCAAATTCGTCCCACCTTTATCTTTCTCTGTAATCAGCTGGTAGTGCTCATAAGGCGTACCGTCTGCTTCGTGAATTCGGACGGTGAATGGACCAGTGAACAGCTTAGGAACGTCGCCGGCATAGACCTGGTGTATCTCCTCTTGCAACTCCCTCCAGAACTCATCCTTTGATATGCTTTTCTTGGTCGGTCCCTGATATTGTAGAATTTGGATGTCGACGTTGAGATTCTTCTTGTTGAACTTTTGGTGAATATCAAGTCTCGGGCAACCCGCACCAAACACGTATTGATCCCAAAGCTCATCAGGGACGTATTGACTGCGTTTCTCGCACCATCGACGGAAGTCCTGGAAAGAGAGGGTAGTGGCCTTAGGGTCCGTGTTGGAGATATTAGCGGCCGAAACCATTTGCGACAAGACGCGGACGACACCTGTCGAGCCAGGAATCTTGGACATGCGCTGATCGAGTATGTAAAGGACAAGTGGCGCCTTGAGCGCCATAAACTCGAGCTCAAAGTCACCTAGGTGAAGATAATCGCCCAGAGCATGCAATGAGGGTCTCCGCACATCCGCCTCTACAAGCTTGTCGGAAAGCGACTTGATATGAAAACGATACCAGTTGTTTCCGCAGATGGTCCTCATGAACAGATCTGTCATGAACCACTGGAGACCGATGATAAGCCAAGTGTCGGACCGCTCATTTGGCACAATGTGGACCCCCACGTACTGACTGGCGAGGGCATGGACGAGCTTCCTGGTAACCTCGATGTCCGTATCTATGATCGTTTCGGGGTACAGCAAACGCGTACTGCACAAGGATAAGGAGTTTGCAACCGCAGTGTCGTGAACCAAGTCTTCGACAAAGCACATCTTGTAGGCTTCATAAGGATAACGGCCGAACTCGGGAGCGAAGTAGTCGGCAGCAGCCACGACGGCTTGGCATGTCCATCGAACTTCATCCACACGGCCAGGGAGACAATAGCCGTGAATTCTGGCTGCATTAGCCCCGAGCTTCTCATCCGCCTCCTCAGTTCTAAACTCGGCCCCAAGATCAACGTGCTCAAAGGGGCCAACGGCGAAACCGATGTGCCTAGCAGCGGTGTTGACGCACTCAAAAATCATGGTCTTCTTGCGCTCGTCCTTGGGGTGCATCTGCTCGCCAATAAGATTGCCAGAGCAGACCACGGTAATCTCCCTTAGCTTGTCCTCTTCGGTGAAAGATGAGCCAGGCTGGTGTGCAGAAATATCTGAGGCTTTGCGTTTCCGACTGCCATCCAGAGCCGTCAGCAGTGCTGATTGGGTAGCCAGAGGCGGTGCGAAGGCATCCTCCAGCGTTCTTGGGCATGTGATTTTAATTGTCCAGGAATGCCTTGAACCGGGATCATCGAGGCAAGGGAAGATGCAAGACGCCGTACCGGGCTCAAGCGAATGCCGGGTGTAAACGTGTGGGTATCTCAGGTCACCTTCCTCAACGCCGACAAAGTGCAGGCCATCTCTGATTCTCTTGGACCTGAAAGGCACAACCACGGTGAGTTCCTCATTAGGGTCGGAGAGGCCTGTCGCATTTTCCGATACCGACTTGGGAGTTTTGAGCTTGAGAATGCGTTTGGGCTCAGAATCCTGGATGAGAGCATCTGGGCGGAGACGGATCCTGAGGGACCCATCAGCCGGCACGCTGATATTAAGCTGCTCTGCCCTTTCTACGATGGGAGCCTGGCGGCGTGTCTCTGGGAGTAATGGCGCCATCCATTTCTTCATTATGTGATGCTGAGTGGCACCGATTTGCGCATTCGTGGGGGGCTCCATTCGATCGTAAGGATCATGAGCCTGTGCCCGTGTCTTGTAGCCGTCCACCGTAATGTTTGAAACGTCGATTTCGCATTGCCGCGTGTCTAGGACGAGTTCCTCAAGGTCGGGAACCAGGGGATAGATCTTGAATGTGCAAATGCCGCTGACGCTCTTCTCCCTGAAGTTGATGTCTAGCTCCACCTCTTGCCTCAGAATGGCGTACGGCTCGGCAGCGGCAACAGGGTCGGGGGCGTTCGTCATGTTGGCGAGGGCCACATCTCCGTTCTCGAGTCCTGACATTTTGGATGTTGCTGTGTGGCCACTCAGGCCGACAAGATGATGGACGCAGTGGTTTGGTTAAGAAGTAGGGCGTCGCTCGTGTAATCGCGGGGACGTCGTGGAATGTCGAGGAGGGCGGAAAGCCGAGGGAGAGGACGACGGCGCGGTCGTGTTCAAGAGAAGTTGAACTTGCAAGAGCTCGACCTGGCAAAGCTTGGACAGGCCGACAAGGCTCACTCGGTCATGGCAAGAGGTGGCGCATGGAAGCGACCCCGTGAACTCCAAGTTGACTCGGCTGCAATGGACTATGCGAACTGACGTATAGAGAGAGAGGTAGCTTGTTAGAGCAAAGGCCGGTGGGTAGTCACAGCGAGGCACAACAGGTTGGACGCTACCTCTGATGATCGGATTTGTATTATTCAGTTGACCTATGACTGCGCGATACGGCGTGGGCCAAGTTAGGCAAGTGCAGGTGTTGGAGGTTCGCCGGTGCCAGTACGGAGGATGCTATTCTCGGACGCGGAGAAAGTTGTTGAACGATGGTTCGAGAGCTGCGCGGCGGGCGAATCTTTTGACGGGGCAAATGAAGGGCGTCGGTATCGGACTGGACAGAGAGTGGGATGCGGCGCGGGGCAAATGGCCGTAAACCGTGGACATGCGTCGCGACGAAGACGGCGATGATGGGAGTTGAGTTCTGGTGACGACAGAGGAACTGAAGAGCAAAGCAAAAGGCGACCGGGCCTGTCGTTCAAAGCTTCCAGAGTCCCCGTCGCGAGTTGGAGTTTCCAAAGTCGCAATCGGTCAGGCACCTACAGGTGTGTACGGGCAGGTACTGGTAGAGGTACCTTCAATTCAGTACCATAGGTAGCAGCAGTCACAACACGATCAAGTTCATGCCCTTTTACCAGAGGAGCTAGAGGTATATATATCGTGGAAATAGAGAATGGCCAACGGACTGGATTGCCCGGATTACAATAATTCACTGCACTGCACGGTACTGCAGCAAAACCAGAAATATAAAAAAAAAAATCAGAATCCGGCCAGAGCTGGAGGTCCGGACTTGGTACATGTAGACGTGTAGCTGCGGACGCGGGTCAGATGTACTACCTTTTTACTGTACCGCGTTGCGACCTGCGACAAATATTATGGTACGGACCTGGGTCACTGCTTGCCTGCCCTCGACAACAACCCTTGTTGCTGCGTGGGTGCAGTGCAGGAGCACCCGCCTGAAAGCCAAGAACCGTCGTCGAGCCAGTGCCGGAGTTTTGCCGCGCCGAACTGCGATGTCAAGTCTTTTTTGAAGTTCGGTCTTGGCATGCGCTCAGGGCACTAAGGGCAGACTGGGCAGTGTCCGTCCGGGTCATCAGCGGGTCATGCGCGCCCTCGACCGATTCGACTGTTTGATTGGTCATTGTTCTCACTGCACGTGGCCCCGCAATTCCATCCTCCAAGCTGCCGACGATGTCGTCACACGGCGGTGAGCTCGGTGTTGAAACCGACCGATATCAACAAGGTCTCGAGGTCAAGATAACAAAATTGGCAGGCCTTTACACTAAGTGTTTACAACTACTACTGCGTAAGGAAAACTACTACTTCTAGAAGCCAAAGAAACAGAACACACTCCCAATGTGGTTATGCCGTGCCATCGTTTCTCTCAAAACAAGTAATCATGTGTACCATGATGATATGAAGAGTGTGACATCAAACTAAAGCATCCCAGGCTAATTCCTACATTGGGAATACATACCCAGAACTCAAACATCCCAATTAGCACAAAGACAAGACGGCCCGGCTATAAAGTGAAAAAAAAAAAACACCATGGCTTGTTATCCCTGAATGACCACCAAACGCCAACCGAGAACACTCTCAATGCCCAGATAATAATAGAGAAATGTGTATGACATTATGTTCAATGTTTACCCCTCTTGTCCCTTCGCTTCCTTCTTGCGTGGGCTTTCAACGTCTCCTCATCCATGATATCTTGTGGAAGCGCGAATTCTCGTTCATCGCCATCGGGCACCGGCTGCCCCCACGCCAGCACGTTTCTGCCCCTTCGCCTGTTCTTGTTGAGCGCCGCATCTCGCTGGTATGGCTTCTTGAAGAACGAGGTAAACTCTCTGTATGGTTCGGGCTCTGGCTCGGGCGGTGGTGGAGGGAGGATGGGACGTTTGCCCTTTTTAGACGGCTTCTTCTTGGCCGCGGCGATTGCCTCTTCACGAAGCTGCTTTGCAATGGACGCGTCGACGTCGCTCTCGTCTGGTGGATCGCCGTCAGATTCGCCCGTGTCTTGTTCTTGATCCTCCATTTCCTCATCACTGTCAGCAATAACCCTATGCTTGGCCGCATCTTCATCTTTTCGATGATCCTTAAGTTCAACTTTATGCTTTGCATCCTCGTGCTTACGCTTTCCGTTCTTCCCTCCGCCCTGCGGCTTGTTGGCCTTTCCCCCCTTGCCGCCCTTTCCGCCCTTGCCGCCGCTCTCGGCATTGCTTGTCCGGTCCTTTTTCCGTTTTCTGCGCTTTTCTTCGGCCGCCCATCTCCGGAACTTTTCGAGGATGGCTTGGCAGCCTTTGATGAAGTGCTCCCGGGCCGGCTCGAACTGCTTCTTACGACCTTCTGTGATCCCACTGACGCCCATTACCCGCAGCCAGTCATGACCTTGCAAGGCATCCAGCAGTCGAATGATCTGGTCCTTTTCATGTTGAGCCCGTCCCTTTTCCGAATTCCGTATTGAGCGTTCCAACCGTTCCGCCTTCTTGTGAGCTGTTTCGTAGAGTGAATCCGGCAACGGATCGTCCTTCAAGGCTGCTTTCCCTTTGTGTTGGGTTTCCAAAAAGCTAAAGTTGATTGTCTGGGAATCGTAGAGATCGGTAAACAGGGCATCGCCGTAGCCTCGGATAGGATAAGATTCGATTGGACGAGGCCGGAAGCCATGGGTGCTTCCAATAACGATGGGGGTGTCGAGATTGAGGAGGTCTATCAGAGAAGGAAGCAATTGACGTTAGTGATTGCTTGGGGGGGCCATGCTGACGACCGGTTTATCCAAGACCGATCGCCCAGGGCTGGAAGGGGGGGCAAAAGGGGGTTGGTAGTGTGTTTGTGACTTACGCTGCTCCTTGGGGTCATTGCCGATTACCTCATCATAGTCGGGAAAGTAGGCGGCCAACTCGCTCTTGAAGCGAGTGCCTTCCTGCGATCGTAATTTGCGACCGCCCTCCTTGATGGTATCGGCAGCATTGGGGTTCAGCCTGCTCAATTCATGCTTCAAGCCATTGACGACCTTTTCCTGGTGCCGTGTAAGGCCCGATGGTTGTTTTGTGGCGGTTGTGCTGGGTTTTGCAGCAGTGGTAGGAGGGGCACGCGAGGGATTGGGGGGCTTTGGTGCCGCAGTGACAGTGACGACAGGCTTCGGGTTAGGGGCTGTAGGGGTCGGGGGCTTCGCGTCGCGCGAGGAATCAATTGAAGCCGATTGACGAAACGACGGGCGAGCAGGTATCTCGACGGCAAACTCATATCGAGTCTTTTTGGGAGGCACGGGATCACATTCTCGGGGCTCGAGTGATCGCTTCTTGCGTTGGGGGACGGTGGTGGCAGTGTTTGGCGGCTTGATGGGGGATGGGGATTGTTCGGCGGACGTCGCGTTCGCGAGCGGGTGTTGGTTGTGGTTCTGCGGTGACGAGTGCGACCGGTAGGTGACAGTGTTGCTCGAATGCGGATGACGCAGACCTTCAGCTCGTCTCGAGCGGGTCACGGATGTGCTCGTAGCCATTTGAGAGCAGGCCCTTCATGGTGCGAACAACGTGTGCCGCGATACTGGTCGAGGTTGCAAAGTGTGTGCACAATTGATTTTGGTCCTGGCCGAGTTCAGTTCGTTGTGGTTGAATTTGCTGTGGCCAGCTGCACCTCTGCTCTTGCCCGCGGGCTTTGCTCTTTTTTTTTTTTTTTTTTTTTTTTTTGTCCCGGATCGGGTCGAGTGAACCATGGGCGGGCAGCACAGCCGCCTGGAGGATGGGAAGAGGGAGTGGAAGATGCACTGTCCGTTGTGTCCCTCTTCCTTGGTGTTGGGTGATCATTGTAGCCAGCCCTGAAATATAGGGCAGGTTTTACGGGGGGGCGCGGTGGGCATCACAGGCGTTCGGCGGTCCCGACACAGGGCAGGGCAGAGCAACAACGGAACCTAACCTACCCGGGGGCTTCAAGGTCCAGGTTTCCAACTTGCACTTCCACTTACCCCCTTTCACCTCACCTCACTGCAGGTTAGGTCTCCCTACCTACCTAGGTACCTACCTTGGACATCCAAAGTGGCGAGGTGCAGCTCGTTCATCCCGTCTTGATGCTGTCTCCGTCATTTCGTTGCTCGATTGGCATTCGCACTCCCACCTGTATCTGCTCATCCATCTCGTCGGTCATGAAGCTTCCACTTCCACTCGAAGCGGTGACGAGGCTCTGTGAGAATTGGCTTCTACCGTAATTCGATTCGGGCAGACCGACTTGGCTTCTTGGACAGCTCAATCAATGACTGGAAGACATGCCGTTCACTGCGCAATCTTTCCTCCTTTTCAGCTCCAGTCCCCTGGTAAATCAGTGGCAGTCAATTGGCATGGCACGATACGGCTCTCGATAATTTGAGAATTAAGGTTGTCGTGGGTACAAGAAATCCCCTCCTCGACAACATCATCAACGGCCCCCGGCCCCGGCCTTTAAAATGATAGGCACCGGGTTCTTTTTTTTTTTTTATAGTGCACACGGCACACTGATCATCCACTAGGCGTCGTCTCCAGTGGCCCACCATCACCACGAGGAAACATGCAAGCCAAGTGGAACACGATAGGAGTTAGTGATCTACCTCCTGCATCCGGGTCGAACCAACTTATCAGTAGGTACCGTGCTATCGGTATCAGGAGTTGGACAACCAACACCTTCCGTCCTCAGAGGAAGTGGTGAAAGCCGATCGATAGCGGGCAAGTTTCCTCGAATCTATCATGACCAAACTCTTGTAATTCACTCCACAAAGATATGAAAGATACACTGGTTATAACACACATTCCACACATGGACTTTTATCTTATCATATGCTGCTCGCACTCATGAACGTGAGCAGCAACAGGCCATCCTCGGGTAACTTCCAAATATGGAAGGCGAGCAGAAGACTAACACCAGCCGGAATACCACCGTAAGCACTACAGAACACATACGATGTCCGTCGTGTCGAATACGACGCGCCGCTTATTCCTCCTCAGCTATGTAATATAAAGAAGCCTACAGGCCCTTGAACTGATGGTATTCATCTTCTCTCTTGTTACCATCGTCTGCTATGTTATATTGGTCCGATACTCGGCGATGAGCATGTCCAACTTCACTGACCATGAGATGGTGATCCTCGCGGATGCCAAAGAACTAGAAACTTGGCTTTGGTCAGTTCGCTATGCCACCTCAGCCTTGTTCATCGTCCTGCTCCCTGGGCGGCTGTATCAACTTCAAAAACGGCCAGTCAGTGTCAGCTCCAACTGGCGTCTGTGCCTCAAACTGGTATATCCTCTATTCCAAGGTTTTTCTCAAACTAGGGAATGGCACATAATACTTACACCTTCATCAGGTCATAACCACGTTGTTCTTCATCCAGCAACTTGTTACCGGCTATGTCTTTATCTCGGAATCCGCGGTCGCGAGTCCGGTTCTAGTAGCGCTGCTTCCGGCCGCTTCACTGGGCCTTGTCATCCTTTCTCATTCAGAACACCGGAGATCTGTTAAGCCATCAAGCCTGATCCTCCTCTACCTCTTAACTTCTTGTCTTTGCGACTTGGTACAGCTTACAATACCTTCTCTGCGCCATCTTGATAACCACGACGACCGCCTTATCATCGGATGGCAGCTGGCAGCCAAGATTCTAGTCGTCTACGTCGAGTGTCCGGCGAAAGAAAGCGTTGTGGACGAAGAAGAAGAAAGCGGCCATGGCTCGCTAGAGGAGCGAGCAAGCTTTCTCAGCAGGGCTTTCGTCTCTTGGATTAGTCCCGTCCTCAAGGAAGGCTACAGATTGGTTCTCGTGAATGAGAAGCTCCCGAGCGTCGACTACAAATTAGCGTCTGGAAATCTTCGAGCGTCGATTCTGCGAACGCTCTCCGAATACGGTAAGTACGAGCCGTGGATTTGATCACACATTAAGAATGCTAATAGTCTCTCAGCTTCATCTCCGTTAGCGTCGGTACTATTCAGATGTCTTCGTGCTCCCTTTCTAACAGTCATTGTCCCGCGACTTTTCGTCATCGGCTTTCGGTATGGCCAGCCGGTATTAATTCGCTACGCCATCGAATATGTACAGTCTCCTGAAACAAATGAGGATCAAGGTTATACACTAGTGTCCGTTGCCGCCATCGTCTACATTGGTCTCGCAGTACGTTGAGGTATCGTCCCTTCACCTGTGTAGCTGACACTAACTTTACTTGTAGCTATCGACGAGGGCATACCAACAGGGCTTAAATCGATTACAGGTCATGATTCGAGGTGCCCTGCTTGGGTTGGTTCACGAACACTCGTTGCTCGCTCGTCATGAGCCGTACAGCAAAGGGAAAACAGTGGCAATTGCATCAACAGACGTGAGTGCCCTTGAAGGTGCCCCAAGAATGTTACATGAATCTTGGGCCTTGTTGGTTGAGGTAGTCATTGGAAGCGTCCTGCTGGCTAAGCAAGTTGGATGGCTATGGCCGGTGCCTCATGTTATCATTATTGGTGAGTCTACATATCTATAGTAAGATGTAAAAAGGTAGTGGTGCGCGTTACTCACCTCCTTGTGACAGTATGCTCTCGGGTCAGCAGATACGTCGCACGCAACCTCAGAAGCAGCCAGGCTACGTGGAATACTGCAACACAAGGACGGATCTCCGCGACTTCTACGATGTTGGGCTCCATCAAGACCATCAAAATGCTGGGCCTTCAAAGCATCGTTGAGAAACACATCCTGGGGTTGAGACAAGAGGAGCTTGATAAGGCGAAACGGGTTCGCTGGATCATGGCGATTTACAACGCGAGTGGTATGTCCTCAAAAACCAGTCTCCCCCTCTAATTTGCAATCAAGTTTTCATTATTTTATCCTTTTGCTTTTATTTATTTTTCTAACGATTCATCAGCCAACGCCCTGGGCATGTTTGCTCCAGTCATCACTATTGTCCTCTTCGCCATTATCGCCATGGTGAACGGGACCACTCTCGACACCAAAACAGCCTTCCCGACAATCGCAGTCCTTGCCTTGGTAACGCATTCAGCAAACATGGTCATGACCATCGTTCCCCAAGCGATAGCGGCCTACGCGAGCTTCGATAGAATTGAGGATTACATCAAGTCCATAAAGGCAGTCAGCCGCTCACCGCGCCCTGGACAGCTAGCCGAAGGGATCGAGGTATCAATCCGCGGCTTGACCGTAAAATGGACTCCTGAACAAAGCAACCCAACTTTGGAGAATGTCAACCTGAAGCTTTCACGAGGTATGGTGGTTGCATGCCTGGGACCAGTCGGTTCGGGAAAGACGAGTTTGGCTAGGGCGATCCTGGGAGAAGTGCCACTGGTAAAGGGCACAGTCACATATGCTACCGACAGAATTGCGTATTGTTCACAAGTCCCGTGGCTTCCCAATCGGACCATAAAGCAAGTCATTCGTGGGTCAATGGCAAGATACGGCGATATTGGTAACGATTGGTATCTGGCCGTTGTTCGGGCATGCTGCCTCGACCAGGATCTGGCTGTCCTTCCTGACGGTGATGAGACCATGGTGGGGGTTGACGGTATGAATTTGTCTGGTGGCCAGCGACAGCGCGTGGTAAGAACAACGAGATGAGAAGAAACTTCGAGTGATGATGGCTAATCTTTGGCAAATATACTATACACAGGCTCTTGCGCGTGCCGTCTACCATCGCTGTAAGATGGTGGTACTTGATGATCCGTTCAGCGCGCTTGATGGAAAGACTAGAGATCAGGTTGCTCAAAATCTACTTGGACCGAAAGGGCTTTTCCGCCAGCTGAACGCTGCAGTATTCTGGATAACAAGCTCTAGTAAGTGGTTCATGACCTACTTGAACTGGCACGCTGCCTGCTGACGTGCCTCTCAGCCAAAAATGTGAATCTGAGTGACAATGTCATCATTCTCGAAAGACGCATCACAGAACAAGGTACTTGGGAAGAACTGAGGGACAAGCACCAACAGATTTCCGATTGCTTCCGTGAGGATGCTTCGAATACTAGCGATAAGGAACAGTCAAAGCCATCCGTGGTGACCAAGACAAAGGCGCGAAGCTCACCGACATCGTCCACGGATGACCTCAGACGCTCACAAGGTGATCTGTCGCTATACTGTAGGTACTAACTCCTACCAGGAATCTCCCAGGAGGTTAACAAAGCCACGCAGGGTACTACTTTTCTAATGCTGGACCTCTGAACATCCTGCTCATGGTAGCTTGTACGGCCTCGTACTCCTTCTTCATCACCTTCCCCCAGTACTGGGTCAAATGGTGGACCCAAAATGACGAGCTTGATTCGGCCAGCAATAGAGACACGGTCTACTACGCGCTAGGCTATGCCCTCCTATACCTGATGGCTTGGATATCCACGAACGGCACGATGTTGTCGACCGTCTTTCGAATTGCGCCAACGTCCGGGCTGAATCTTCATCGGAGCCTCGCGCACACCATCATGCATGCGCCCCTCTTCTTTTTCTCAATGGCAGACATGGGCGTTCTCCTGAACTACTTCAGCCAAGACATACAGCTCGTGGACAAGACGCTTGCGCAGGCCGTCATGTCCTTTGCCATTCAAGTGTGCAAGATGATTGTGCAAGCGTCTCTACTCCTTGCTGCTCAGCCCATCATGGTCGTCACTCTTCCCGTCTGTGCCGCGGTCGTGTACGCAATCCAGAAGGTCTACCTGCGCACTTCGCGCCAGCTCCGACTCCTTGAGCTGGAGAGTCGGGCGGCTGTGAATTCGTCTCTTTTGGAAACCGTCCAGGGTATCGAAACAATTCGGGCATTTGGCTGGCGAACCGAAGCGGCGATAGAAAACATCCATGTCGTCGACATGAGCCAGCGTCCCTTTTACCTGTTGCTTTGTCTTCAAAGGTGGCTTAATGTTGTTCTCGATCTTCTTGTTGCTGGTGTGGCCGTCGGCACAATCTTTCTCGCAGTCAGCTTGAAGGGCACGGTGACGGGAGGCCAGATTGGCGTGGCCCTATCGGTCATTATCGCTGCCAATGCCACTCTCCTGAGCCTGGTTCAGTCGTGGACAAACCTGGAGATCTCCCTCGGTGCTATTTCGCGGTTGAAGAGAGTGGAGGAAGATACACCACAAGAGCCGGTTTCCGTTCCCTGCCCTGGCCTCATCAGTCCAAACCACAGACCCTTTACCGGATGGCCCTCGCCTGATCTTTATGACAACACACCCGGACTAGTTCGGTTTGAAGGAGTCTCGGCATCATATACGAGCAATGGCCCTTTGGTACTCCAAGATCTCAATCTCGATATTGCCTCCGGCCAAGTGGTGGTCATTTGCGGACGGACAGGCAGCGGGAAAAGTTCGCTCCTCCTTGCGATGCTTCGTCTAATCAATATCCGCGACGGGACACTCCGCATAGGGAACAAGGATATTCGTCAGGCTCCTCTGCATATCATCCGTGAAAAAGCCTTCATCACGGTCACGCAAGACTCGTTCCACTTACCCGATGCATCTCTGCGCTTCAACCTTGACCCAACATGTCTACTTCCCAACGACGCCCTGGTATCAGTTCTTCAAATCCTCGGGCTATGGCTCCATTTCTCATCGTCCTCCTCGAATAACTACCCATATTCAGAGCATCCAGTCATTGACGAAACCAGCCCTCTTCTCAACGCTACCACGCCCTCTCCAAGCCCTTCCTATCACCCCATCCTCGACACTCCCCTCTCCCTCCTCCCCACCCTCTCCACCGGCCACCTCCAACTCCTCTCCCTCTGCCGCGCCATCATCAAAGCCCGACACATGCGCACCATACATATAGCCCAAGCCGCCCCAGAGGAAGAAGAATACAGACGAGACACAACTACCTCTACCGATCCAGACTTTTGCTCATCTGCTTCTCCTTCTTCCTCCGATCCGGGCTTTCGTAAACCGGACGACATCGTGCAGCCGATTATTTTGCTGGATGAAATCACGGCTTCGTTGGATGAGAAGACGGAGCAAATGGTGCTTAGGGTCGTGAGGGAGGAGTTTGTGCAAAACAAGTATACGGTCTTGATGGTTACGCATCGGGTGGAGGCGGTAAGGGGTGCTTTGTTGGGGGGAAGGTCAAGGTGGGTGGAGGAGGATTTGGTGGTGAGTATGGAGGGGGGAAAGATAGTGGGGGTTGAGAAGGTGGGTGGGCGACGCTGACGGCGTTAGGAGCTAAGGGAGGTTGAGGGTAGGGAGGAGGAAGTATCCGTGTTCTCTCTCTCAGAGATGGGGTGCTGAGAGGGAGCATTGAGAGGTGGAAGGGGAAGGGAAGGGATCCGTCCCGTGGAGGAATGCGACGCTGAATGATTTTGAAAAAAAAGGCGTGAGTTATCTCCATCCGAGGAAGATACAGTCAAGAGATGTTACAGAGCGGCGTATACCTATTAATTACATGGATTCCATTTCTGCCCTTTCAGTCGTTCTTGCTCAGACATGACGACAAGTCTTTTTTTGTTAGAAAGTAAGAAGGGCAAGTTCCCTTTCTATTGTCGGATCATGCAACCTGGGTCTGGTGTTATCGCCCGGCATCCCTGACATAGATTTAGTTTTCATGTTGTCTTTTTCTTTTCGGGTTGGCCTGGGGGTAGGTCAAGTTTTTATGTTTGAAGAAACTCACATGTTTTAGTGGTTATTCGGTTCCATCTATTTACTAATCGATCTCTCTCTGTCTTTTTCTTACGGACTTTCGAGAGATCGAGTGACCTGACCACCGAGTCCTTCGCCACCATGTCCAATAACACCACCTTAACAACATCACAACCAACGACATCAACTACCCTATCTGCCGCCATACATACAGCTACATCCACCTCTGCCCCCAGCAGCAATGGTCCACACACCCTCTACCACGCTCAAAGTGAACGTTATGTGTGCGTTTATGTGGTTTAGTACTCGACAGACAACCTCATCGTTCGTAAGATAATTAAGCATTGCGTGGAAGGAAGCTATGTATACCCGGATATATAGTGATTGATGATTTAGAAATAAGGCTAAATACAAACTGACCATATTGACCCCACACGTTGGAGGTGATCTGTTTGTTTGACTTTCTTCGGCCAAAAAAAATTACAAACCAGGATTGTGGTATTGAGTGGTGACTGTGGGTGTTTGTTTAGGTCTTACAGCTCTTTATTTCTTTGGGGGCTAAAAGTTTGCTACGTATTGCATGCACCGAAACATACTATTACTAATGTAATCGGCTCTGATTATAAGTTAGTATCTATCATAGGCTGCATAGGAAAGAGTGGTACGTGAACAGGACTCGGTAACAGCGCAACGGGAGGTGCAATCTTTTCTTTCTTTCTTTCTTTCTTTGTTGTTGAGTCCGTAGGTAACCATGACAACAGACCCGAAGGGAAAACACTCGCTCATGCTGAGTCAAACCAACACTACTTCTTTCGCCCAAACCAATGTGTGGAAGTTGATCATTTAACTTATAGCATCACAAGGAGCTGGAAGTTTTTTTTATTTTTATTTTTATTTATTTTTATAATATTTGAAAGATCAGATGGAAGAAAGGAATCACCATGCGGAGAGGCTTTGCATACCCAAGAGCAGTGGCAGAGGGGAGAGAGCGAAGAGACTAGAATTAGTACGGCTGATTATATAGATTTACCTTTACATACCAACCCACAACAGTAACAGGGATTGTAGTATAGTGGTCAGTACTTCTCGTTGTGGTCAATTCGACGTACAACGGAACCGAGAGGACCCAGGTTCGATTCCTGGCAATCCCAATTTTTTCGCTTTTGGATTTCTTACAGTCGGTCGTCCTTGTTCTTTTGCTTGGTGTTCTGCGAAAAGATTTTAAAATTTAAAATTTTTGAATTCAAGAAATAGATCCATCACAAATCCAGAAAGTCATATTTGGAAGTCTGCGAGAGAGAATGGTAGTGTTGGTTGTATTTTATACTATCTTGCTGTAATCCGAAATGAAAGGAACTGGATGCCGGGTAGCCATGACGATGAACACGCAAATGATGCAAGAGGTGGAGGAAAGAATCAACGTCAGCATCCTTTGGGCAATGTAATCTCATTGAAAGACAATCACAGCGAATAGACAGAATATTGTAGTCATAGACAGCGTTGTCCTCGTTCCCGAACAGCACCTTGACATTACACCACCGCCAACCTGTCCAAAAGACCATCTTTCCCCTGATGCTTGTAACTAAGAGTTAGGTATAATATATACATACGATAGATAGTGTTCAAACCTGCGTTGGTATGTTATACAATGCTTTTGCGCATTTCTCTCCCTCCTCCAAACTTTTTTGAAACGCGTGCACGCCCTCCCAAGAAAACCCTATATACAAGTGTTGTCCAAGAAGATAACAATGTATAAAGGTCCTGTTCTTGGACGAAGAAGAGAAATGTTAGCCCCCAATGCTATGCAATCAGAATCCAAAAATATAATGCTTGCTTCCCCCTTCACCCAAAGGACCAAAAAAAAAGGCGTTATCTCAAAACACCACCCTACCCAACCCCATCTGTATCCCCCTTTCCCATCCTTCCCTCAACTTTCTATAGTCATAGCCATGGTCACCTTTATACCTCTTCCTTTGCCTTACTGCTGCTGCTGTTGTTGTTGTTGCTGTTCCTTTCTCATCACAAACAAGTTCAGTCTCCTAAGCCCTGACTTCCGTAGCGCCCGCAAAGCTCTTAAACCGCTCGTTAAAGACCTTGACCCTCTCCTCCTCCATCATCTTCTGCAGCTTTCTGGTCTGGCGAACCGCCTCCTCACGTTCCTCCTGGAGAGTCATGACCTCAATCTGGGCCATGTTCATGCGACTGACGACTTCCTGCATTTCCGAGTCGGCAGCCATCAGGGCGCCTTCGAGCTGGGCGACGCGGGCTTTGAGGGTAGTCACGTCCTCGGCCATGTTGCCCTCGGCGGCAGCCGATGAAAGAATCCCAGAGGCCCGCGGCCGAAGGTAGGTCGAGGCATGCGAGTTAGAATAAAAGGAAGAAGATGATGAAAGTAAAAAAGGGCTCGACATGCGAGTGGTACGGGGAGTGGCATCGCTCTTACTCGCCAGGCTCATGCTGAACATGGGGCTGAGGGGAGACTTGGGCGGGAATGAGCGCGGGGGAAGACCACGCATGGCGGCTGCCGAGCCCGCAGGCCCATCGCGCAGACGCAGGAGGTGGATGCTATGACTCTCCTTAAGCGTCTGCAGCTCTTCCTCATGGCGGTTCACGCGCTCTTCAGCATTGGTTTGCGCGGTAATCACCTGTTCCTCAAGCTCCCTTAGGCGCTTCTGGAGACTGGCAATGCGCTCCGTGCTTACGCGCTGGTTGGCCTCACCGCGGGCAACGGTATCGGCCAGTCTCGAGCGGAGTGCAGCGTTGATGGCAAGCTGAGCGCGCACTTGCTGTGCGAGTTCCTCGACACGCCGGGCCGAGTCAGACAGTTGCTCAGCTAGAGTGAGCTCGGCGTCAATGTGTTGCTTTTCGGACTCCCGGAGGGATTCGAGCTCGGCAAGCTGGGCAACGTTATCCTCACGAGCCATGTCACGCTCCGTCACTACAGTCGAGAGAGATTGCTCAAGGTGAGCAATGGCGAGCTGCATTGCCTCGTTGGATGCAGTGCTGTCCTCGAGGTCCTTGATACGGACGAGAGCTTCACTGTAGGTGGCTTGCAAGTCTGCATAAGCCTTCTCCAGGGACGCTGACGACACCGGAACAAGAGCGTCATTGTCGCTGTAATTGGACATGTAGCTGCTACGGGCGAAGCCCTCAGGAATAAGGATGTCTCTTTCCCTGAGAAGGCTGCGCAGGGAGGTGATTTCCTGCTCGGCGCGATCAAGGTTCATCTTGAGGCCACCCAGACCCTTCTCGACCTCCCACTTCTGGTCAATGGCCTCCTCAGCCCGGCGACGCAGGACGGCGATCTCATCGCGAAGGTTGGCCACCTCCTTTTCGTATCCACCACGAGGGGAAGACGAGAGAAGACGGTCACGCTCCTGCTCGAGAAGCTTGATTCTCTTGGCGTTCTCGCGATTCTGGATCTCCTGTCTCTCAAGGAGACTGCGCAGAGCACGGTGCAATGCGTCGCGCTGTGCCTCGACGTCCTTTAGCCTGTCGGCCAGGATCTCACCGCGAGGCTCAGCAGCAGCAGCAACAACATGGTGCTTTGTAGTGTTTGACCGGGCAAGGGACATGGGGCGGCCGGCTCTCTTAATAGAGCTGGTATTTGTGCCTGCAACTGATGTTGAACGTGAAAGGACCATCGACATGCGGGTTCCTGTCTCTTTGAGTTCGTTGTTCTCCGACTTCAAAGTGCGCAGTTCCTGCTCCAACTTGCGCAGCTCCGTGTTCTCAAAACGTAGCGCCTCGAGCTCCTGTTGCAGGTCGTCGATTTCTGCGCTTTCACTTCTCAACGACTGAAGTTCATTCTGCTGGCTGCTGAGCTGAGCGTTTGCAGACTTAAGCAGTTGAACCTCCTCGTGCAACTTGCTGCACTCGCTATGTTCGAGCTTGATGGCGTGAAGCTCCTCCTGCAACCTTACGACATCTGAGTCTCCTGACTTCAGTGCTTGGAGCTCCTCTTGCAGTCGATCGCATCCTGTGTGTTCAGCTCGGAACTGCTCAAACTCATCTCGCAGTCTAGCGAACTCCGTATTTCCGAGCTTGCCGCATTCTGCGTGTTCGGACTGAAGGTGGTCGTACTCGTCGCGGTACTTGCCAAGTTCGGCATTTTCAGCCTTCAGGAGATCGACCTCCTCCTGGATCTTACCAAGCTCCTCATTTTCCGTCTTGAGAGATTGTACTTCTTGCTCCAGCCTGGTCGCATCATAGGCGAGCTTGTCTCGCTCGTTTGACGTGTTTTCCAACTTGCCCTTGATGTCACCGAGGAGGTCTTCCAGGCTTTCCCTCGTCTGACGCTCTTCGGAGAGCTTTCGTCGCAAGTCGTCGCATGTGGCCTCGAGTTCCTTGATCCTGTCACTGGTTTCCTCGTTTTGTATTTTGGCAACATCAATCATCGAAGCCCTCTTTGAAAGTTCCTGGATCTGTTCGTCGAGGGCGCGGCGCCTAATCCGCTCATCTTGTAGCTTGGTGGTAAGCTCAAGTCTAATTTGCGCTCGTTCCTGCTCCGCTTTGCGCTTGAGCACAGTAATTTCCTCCTTGGCTTGATCATAGTCGCTAAATTTTGATGAACTGTGTCCAGAGTCGGAGAAGTAGTCGCTTGTTCTTCTCCCGGATTCATTAGGGTTGCCGTTATTGACCTGTTCCTGTAGCTTGTCCACCAGATCCTCCAAGTCCATTTCACGCCGAATGGATGCAGCCAACTCGGCGCCGATGGCTTTCAGTTCGTCCTCCATTTCGTCGATCTGATACTGCGACGTCTCACTGGGCGGCGGCGTCTGTAGGTAGTCTTCGCAGTACTCTAGCGGCCGCTCGGTTTTCGCATTGGTATGACTAGGTGTCCTGAGCAGGCGTGGGGATTCATCTGCAAGCGTCCGTAGGGTTGAGCGTCTCACGGAATGAGGAGAAGGGGACGGGATGGGCGAGATGTCTTCTTTGTCTTCCGAGAACTCGGTTGTGGAAGATTGTGGCGTGGTAGCCCAGTTGCCATAGAAGTTGGCGTCCAATTGGGACGAGGCGGGCGATTTTGGCAGAGGTCTGTTAAGATTATTGTTTTCACCCGGGGTTGAAACGAGCGGAAAGGCCCGTTGTCGATGGTCACTATCTTCTGCTGGCGCAAGATTTAGATGTGGAGGGGGAGACTTTCGAGAAGACAGCGACATGGTATTGGGCTTGACTATGGGATTGCGCCTGTCATGTGTCTCTTGCAAGTGCGTATTAATCGTCGCGGTGGCGTTAGTATAGGGAGCCGCAACCTCGTCGTTGTAGTACGTATCGAGGTTGTGGTCCAATGATCGAGTGGTCACACCAAGGCTGTCGGCGCTTATATGCCGGTCTGGCGACACTGACAATGGGCCCCCTGTCTGAGCCGATGAGATAATCGGGCTCTCCTTCAAAGTCTGTGTGGGCTGCAGGTTGCCGGTATTAGAGATACAGGGGCCTTGAAGTTGTACAGAACGATCGGACACGGTGCTTGATCTACATGGAACAGTTGAAGGTCAGTTTGTTGTTCACCCGCATTTAGCCTGCCTAGACGACTATGACCTGAACCAGACTCTCGGATATACAAAGGACTTACGACCGTTGGTTGTTGCTGCTATAGTCGGGATCCGCCGGTAAATCGGAAGCGTGGGCAGCAGCCGAGGAACGAGAAGGATGTAGTGGAGGACCAAATTTGGCGGGGAATTCGTACAGAGTAGGGCTATCCAAAGAACACGATCTCGAGAAACGGGACTCGGGACGGGGAAGATCGCGGATGATGTCAAGATAGTTCCTTCCCGGAGACGAGAAGCGGGTGGCCAAGGGCGAAGCTGAGGATGATAACGGCTTGCGCTTGATGGGGGCCGGGGTGTAAGCGAGGCTTTGGGACCGGCCTTTGCTGGGACTCGGGGTCGGACGTTGGTCGGGGATGGTAGGTAGTGGAGGGAACTGGTGGTCCGTCTCCAGTTGGTCTAGTGTTTCCTCTGTTTCGTCCGATGTCGAAGGTCCGAGCCCGTGTGGCGGGAGAAGGGACGGCAGCTGTGGGTATTCCTTTGAGAAACGTGGTGGTGTTCTAGCGGACGACACAGCGGGCGCGGCACCAACAGGCTCGACGACAGCTGAACGTGCAGGAGGCGGGGAGAATTTAAGGAGAGTGGTAACCTCGGGCAAAGCAGCGCGGTTCGTGTCGAGCTGTGGATGGTGATGTTGTTCCTGGTGGTGGTGGTGGTGTTGTTGTTGTTGTTGGTATTGTTGTTCTTGATGATAGTGAAGAGGCAGAGCAGGGCCAAAATCGAACCCTCTCTCGTCAGGGGAAGAAGGGACGAAAGTAGCCATAATGGTGGCTGAGGCTAGGGCAACGGTAGTATATGAAGAAGGAAATGACCCCAAGTCAACTAAGGTCAGGGTGCGGTGCTAAAGTGCCCGGGTGGTATCTGCTGCAACGCGGACGGTAGTGGCGTTTGGTGGTCTAGCGAGGTCGCTAGAGATGATCTCCACGGCTGGTCTGGGTAACGGGCCTTGAGTTTGAAATTCGAAACCGAATCTACAACGGGGACCTGATCATCCTCATCATGGGCTTGGTCGACCGCGATTGGATGGGCTTGATTGGGGGTTTGGACAAGGCAAGGACTGGATCAGAGGTTCCAATTAGTGTAATTGGCGGACAGTCAATCACTTCCCTCTTTCAAAGAAGGGCTGGAAGGGAAAGGTCGCAGAAAGGGAGAGAGCGAGACGAAAAGAGCAAGAGACGAGCGAACGTGACAGGCTGACGGCGGACGCGCAGGTCCGGAAGTCAGTGAGATCTTCCACCTGGAAGAGACAACAAGAGAGTGACAAGGCGCCGGGGTCTTGGGGTCCAATGTGTAGGGTACCCAGATTATCTTTGATGGAAGAAGTGGAGGGAACAATTTCGCGCAGGCGGGTTGGGAGAAGAACAAGCGAGTAAACGAGTTGCAGGATATTATTGGATTGGAGGATTTGGCCGATTCAAAAGGGGGCAACTTCCCTCTCTCTCTTTCTGTTGACGCCGGCTCTTCAGGGTCTTAACTGAATTCCTCTCTTGACCTGTTTCTTCCCTCCCTCCATTCCTCCCACATGCCGCTGGCGCTCGCCAGTAGCAGTCGCGCTCTGCCGTGACAGAGATGGCTCATTGGCGCCATTGATTCCAATTTGGGTCAAGAGGAAGGAGAGGACATCCGAGAAGGCGAGGAGAATTGAAACAAAGTGGGATGGCGCAACAGAAAACGCCCCAAGTGGAAACGCAACAAACCTCCACTTCCCTTCCGGTCGTGTTTCCCAGTGGTCCTCCGGGCTGCAGCGCTCCTGCCCATTGGGCAACGCCGTTCGTACCTTGCAGATTGGCCTGCAACCGTGCACGGCCCTTTCGATCTCCGTCTCTCCAATCACCACGTCTTGTCAGGGGGTTCCATTGTCAATTCAGCCCATTGTCCTTTTTTTATGACCTTGCCCAAGGCCTGGATGGAATTGGAGGGATCGGGATTCCGTCATGGATGCAGCTTCCAAAGGGGCTCATTCTGTTCTTCAGCTCAACCTCGATTTGGGTCTCCTGGTTCGTGAGTCTCGACACGGAAACCACAAGGTACCCATGTACGAGTCATATGAGCCATGAATCTACGAAACAAAACAAAAAAAAGAAAAAGACCTCAAGATGGAGTTAATGCTGAGGGCAGCCTGGGTAGGTGAGCGAGACGATTTCCCGTAGTGCCAAACGGGATGGCGTCAAAGGGCGGGAACTTGGCAAGCCCCGGGAAGCGCCCATGCTTTTTACCATGATTGCGATGGAGTAGATTAATAAAAGTAACGACAGGGATTCCAGTTCTAGTGTAGCCCGAAGATAGCAACGTCCTTCGTTTTCTTCGCTCTCTTTCAATATAATTCCGTGAAAGCCGGCGTGGGCTTGACTGATCTCATGTTGAATTGCCCAATGGGTTCGGACCGTTGACATGGAGCTTTACCACCGCTTTGGGGCGATTTTCTCTAGACATGTCGAGAACGGGAAAATGACATACCATGCGGTATGACAGCTGGGGCATGGAAGGGCACGTGATTTTCTTCTTCTGAGTTTTGGCCTTCAATCACTCAAGCTTTTCCCTTATCCTGCCGTGGGTAGGTCTCATGGGGTTTGGGAGAAGCAAGAGAGTACACGTAGTACCAAAGGCCGTTTCATTCGGCGGCCACCGCGATCTCGTTCACAGCGACGCGAAGTCGATCTTGCACCATCAGATCGTGATGATGTGCGTTGGAAGCGCCGGCCCCTCTCCCAGCTCTTCTAGATGGCCGGCATGTCATCCGAAAAAAAAAAAAAAGAAAAAAAACCCCGACGAGAGTTGTGTGACTTTTTGTCCATCATGAAAGCGCCCACTGCGACAACCCACTATGCATGAAACCGTCGGAGCCGAACGCAGTTGATGTAAAAGGCATTGTTGACAACAAGGACCGTCAGTTTATTTGCTTCATTGAAGGTCGACTGTCCTTTGATGATGGTTGTTGACATGGTCATGATGTCTCCAATGAAATGGGCAAATGTGACTGCTTAAGCCATGAGACGCAACATTCACCTATTGATAAATGAACCAGTATACATATGTGTTTGTGGACGAGTTGGTTTCGAAAACCCCATCAGTTCGTCAGTAGATTGATCTCCGAAACATGCTTTGTTCTCCAGTAAAGGCTCATCAGGTTATATCCCTGTCAATATATAGCTGTAGACACTTGATCAGTTCCAATCTATACGTCACATTCGCGATGACTCCTACTCGATTGTCAGAGTGAAGAGTTCCTTTGTGTTTACCTTCGAGGCTGATAGATCACCTTCGGCCTACTCTCAACCACATTGACCTCTTTCCGCGACATAACTTAACGGTTGGATGACCTCGCCGTGAAGTCCGTACGCTGGACTTGACGGCGTGGAAATATCTTGGATGGACCTAACAGGATGGGTCAAAAATCATTTGTTGAATAGTAGGCGTCCGGAGTGAAAAGATGAATGTGATCGATCGACGGGACTCAAGGTGAAGAAAATGAAAGCCTTCCGAAACAGAACAAAGGCAAATGAACAAAAAGCTCAGCTGCCCTAGCCTGGGGTTAGAAAACACCACGAATTTTCTAGCTCCCCGCACACCTACCGCGTCGGCTATTGGAAGATGTTGGAGAATCTGATCTTGAGGTGAGGAAGGAAGGTCTGCCGCCCGTGTCCGCAAGGATCGACCCAAAAAGAGGTGATTACTTGAGAGAGGGAAGACTTTATATGCTTGCTGTTGAGGTACATTTTTGGGGTCGAGGAGGATACTGGTAACGTAGGCATGCTGGCCTGGAGGTGTAGATGTGTCGATGGCCTAGCTGTGGGAATCGGATGATTGCATCAGGGCATGTACATAAGTGACATGTATGGGGTGAGAAGAGGTTAATGAAAGTAATGCTCCTTATATTTGTATCCTCATCCTTTAAAGTATGGTGAGACCTGTCCAAGCATCACCGGGGTCATCATCACTTGGCAATTATCAGCCCAAAGCGTGGTGAAAAAAAGGCAGGCAGAAGTCGCATAACTGAAACGAGTTCTGGAAAACAGGACATTACGTTAGAACCTCGTACCCTATCAGACAGATGTCCGATCTTGCGTAGGCCTGCCTGGTCTTGGAAAGCAGTCCAGGCTTGTTGACTCAAGCTCCACCATAGCATCAAACCGCATCAACTATATCCATCCGAAATCATCATGAAAAGAGTTGTCATCCCAACAGCCACAATAAAGCTCGTAGCGGGTGAACAGTGAGGACCTTGATGTCTCGAGTGTTTGGTGCTGTTGGTGACGTTGTCGAATCTCGGTGCTTGCCCTGGCTCTGGTGGTGGAGCTTATCAGCTGTCACGGTCGGGTCGCAGATAAGACTCCCCCACTTCTCCCGGGTCCCGAACGTCCTTTGGGCGTCGGTCGCCCAGCTCGTCTGAATGATGATGTGGTTGGCTGATGAATCTCTGAACGCGGGAAGGCTCTCTCACCTGAAGCTGTCGTTTCTGCCATAGCCATAGCGTGTTAAGCATTTGCCTCTAAACCAAAGCTGAACACTATCATCGTCACCGGCGCAACCGCAAGGCAACCCGAACCAGGAAACACATGCCTGAACCACCAGCTCCCCGTTTCTCAACCCTGAATGACAACATTTGATCATCCTACTTACAGAACGGTACTAGCTCCGACATCGCACTTTGATCTACACGCGTATTCCGCAACACCTTGTTGATTCTCAGCTTCTCTTCGCTTCAGCTTCCCAAATCCAGCGGTATCGTCCGGTCGTCTAGAGGCATCGATCCGTCATCGTTCCCCGTCCTTTATCTTCCACCTGCGCAACCCTCGATTGTCGATACAGAATAACCTCAGAAGACGCCGCACCTCACAACGCAAACAACCCACTCGATCTCTCTCCCTACCGCACACGCACATCTACACACGCACGTCTACAAGTACCGGCACGCTACGCTACGAATCCCATTTCGACGGGGGACAGCAACATAGTCCGCGCTCTCGCCAATTGCATGCTTCGCGGCTCTAGGTAGCCTCGCTCAATGGTGGCTACCTTAGGTCACCGCCCACGCCATACACACCAAGGCCCCGAGGAGTTGCGAAGCGCATCGAATGAATGCAACCTCTAAACCCATTCCTCAGTGCTTTTGCCAAGAGCCCTTATCTCGCCCAGTGCTCGCCCCCTCAGCAGCACATCCTCCTTGTCCCGACCACCGATGTCATTCTTGACTCCCGCGACACCGAGACGGGCGCGCCCTTGTCAGCTTCCGTAGCCTCCGATGAGTTCATCGGGAGCCATGTGCTGCGCATCCTTCCACCCAAGGGGGGCCCTGGCGCGGGAGCCAAGGAACCTACGCAGAATCTCCGTGAGATGAAGGGCAAACCCAAGCTATACAGCACCATCAATGGCAGGACCATTGTCATCAAGGACAACTATGTCTACAGCAACAAGGGTACCGAACTCCTTCACAGAATCTCAGCCGTGAACCTACCGACCGCTAACTGTTCTGGGTGTTGAACAGGATTCAGGGCCTTGGCCCAAGCCAACCTTCTCCACGACGCCCTTTGGTACCCCGATACTCTCGAGCTTAAGCAGTTCCTGGTCTATTTCATATCACGCCCGCTGGTCGGATCATGGGAGGAAGTCAACATCCCTCCGGCCCTACTGCCGCCCGAACCAACCACCCGACCCAAACCTATAGCAGCTGCGTCGGACGCACCGAAAAAGAAGGACATTAGGAGCTTCCACGAACTCCTCAATCATTTTCCCGCCATTGCAAGGCAGATGCAAAATGGTCTCGAGAAGCTGTTCCGCGAGTTCACCCTTGTAGTCGAACGACCACTACCGCCACCTCCCTCTGCGAGCGTCATCCCAGACCCAGAACCCATCAATGGCCCCATTACACACGCGGTTCGAAGTGTACGATCGAACAGCACAGGAAGTATCAGCTTCACAAGGAACACGCATGGTGACCACTTGACCGAGAGCATATACAGCCAGGATGATGAGGACATTATGAGGGTGGCTCTGGAGACCGCTGTAACGTCAGCCATTGACCTCTTCCAAAATGTCGATAAGCAACAATTGTCTTTGTTGGGCGCAACTACCGACTTGACTGGACCAGTTGTCGAACGTATGATTGAACGTTATGTGACGGAAAACGTACACTACATGTTGTTCCCCCGCTTGACGACACTTCGACGACCGGATGATCTCGAGCTAGAGGCCAAGATACGGCAGATGGATAACATCGATATTTCTCAGCTGGGAATCGCTATGGACGGTGGGTCGCGAGCAAAGCGTGATCTCATCTCTCGACTGGGGCGTGCGGTGGACGAGTTCCGCAAAATGACAAACGCCAGCTGTCCTCAGGAGATGATGGAAATTCTTCTTTCTACTGCCAAGGCTGCAACGCAGCTCGCTTTACCTGAGCCTCCGCAGACGCCGGGGCCAGCTTCGGAAAAGCCCATTTTGACCATCAACGCTGATACCCTCGTATCTCTGCTGCTGTATGTTGTCATCAAAGCTCGGATTAAGCACCTCCAAGCGCGACTAAGCTATGTTCGACACTTCATCTTCATCGATGATGTTGATAGTGGCGAGATCGGCTATGCACTCAGCACCTTCGAGGCTGTTTTGGCGTATCTTGACCGTGATTCCGGCGGGTTACGGCGAGCCAGTCGTCGGAACAGAGCCCTTTGGGACGCGGTGTCAAAAGGCGACATCGTGGAGCTGAAGAAAATCATGGAACCAGAAACGTATTCCAGCGACGACGCCTACTATGCAGTCGAACCCCGGCCTTCTTCACGCAGGGCATCGGGAAATGAGTGGAACTTCGCGAATGGGGGTTCGAGTCTGTCTTCAACAGCCTTTTCCGTATCGGAGCGTTTCTCTGAAGGTTCTGGTCTCAGTCACGTATTTCCGTTCCAGGATGGAGCATCCGATGACATCGACATTGATCCTTACGAAGCTGAACCACTGCCTCTGCCAAAGAAAGTCAAAAGGGTATCAATGGACACTCGAAGTATGTCACTGTCGAGCAGCTCGGAGATCTCATTTAGGTCTAGGACAGCCAGCATCACCACGACATGGACAGGCGGAGTTGAAGGCGACACTAGTATTGAACGCCTCGCCCAGACCACCGATGCACTTGGGGAGTCAGTACCGATGATGGCCATCCAAAACGGCCGTGTTGAGGTCTTGGAGTATCTGCTGTCACTGAGCCAGTATTTCCCTGCTCATGTCCTGTTGGAAGACCAGAACAACGCGGGCACGACATTGATGAGCGCTGCGGTTCAGTTGGGTGAAGCCAAAGTCATCAACATGCTGTTGAACTTGTTCCTCGAATCAACGCCGCGCGATCAGCTTAGAGATTATCTCGCCAGACAAGATACATGGGGTCGTAGTGCTGCGCATTACCTCTTCCACGCTCCCTTCCTAATAAAACTTATAGGCGAGATGCTACCATGGCGGCAGAAGGACAAAAACGGACAAACACCATTATTCGCGTTATGTCGGTCGTATGATCATGCCAACTACTCCGTCATGGTAGAGGAGGGCCTTGACTTTGCCACGAGAACTCAGGGCGATGGTCAGCCTCTGCACCTGGATGAACATGTCGATGTCAAGGGCAATACCCTTCTGCATATCATCAACGACCCGAAGCTTGCGTTACAAATCCTGCAACATTGCGATGTTGATGTCAATGCAACCAACGAAAAGAGGTTTACCCCTCTGATGCTGGCCAGCAAGTATGGGCGTTTCGATATGGTGCGAGTGCTCTTCGGAGATCCTCGCGTCGATGTTGCGGCCAGGGAGCTTCGAGGTTTGACAGCCGTAGAATTGGCCAAGGACGACGAGGTCCGCAACAAGATCGACGATCTCACCCTGTTCTCGCTCATACCGGGCTCCGACTCACGCACAACGGGTGTGGTACGATCCTATTTCGTTGAGGATACCTCCATCCGTTTTGTGCTGAAGTCGGGGGCACCGGTCGACCGGTATAGTTATGCCGTAACGACGTGTCGTCGATCTCTGACGGACTTTGAGCACCTTGTCAAGTTGCTGGAGATAGAGAACCCTTCCTCATGGATACCGTCTCTGGCGGATGTGCGGTCGCCGACACAGATTCTTTCCAGGCCAAGTCGAGCGGTACTCAAGGATCTCCAGATTCGTATGGATTGGTTCTTACGGGTACTTTTGGCGCATCCCACGTTTGCTACTCATGAGATGCTTTGGGAGTTCTTCCTGGTGCCTGACTTGCAGCTTGACATGATGGCCGAACGGAGTAGGCTCAAGGCGGAAGCGCTAACGGAGAAAATCCATGACGAGATGGAGCCTGTCATAGACCTAAGGGAGGTTGAGCAATTTGTCGATCATGCTCGTGATATCGTCAGGAGCGTGCACTTTTCTACCAGGAGTGTGGCCCGGAGGGCGAACGTAGTCGGAAACGTTGCCATGGGTAAGTCATTCCTTTTCACAGACCTCTCTCTCCACCAAAGGAACCACCCTTTGCTAACAATACTCATAAATAGACCTCTACGATGCCTCGCAACTCCTTCACCGCGTCCTCACCACCTTCCCTTTCCTCCCACCCTCCCACCTAACCGCCCTGGAACTCTACGTCCGCGCCCTCGCTCCACCCCAAAACTCGCCAACAAACCTTTTCTTCAACGCCTTCTTAACTCTTTACTCCAACGTCGAAGCCATCCTCCGCGCCCTCGCCAAGCCGCCGCGAACCATTGCCAAGATTGTCTCCATTCGCCGCGAGGCCGAGCGCAACTACAACTCGCTCAACCGCTCGTCGCGTTGGCCGCTCGGTCTTTTGGATGAGACGAGGCAGCGGATGAACGAGGAACGAGAGGAGAAGGTCAAGAATGCGGAACGCGAGGCGGAGATGTTGGGAAAAGAACTAAGGTATGCCCAGCAGACGGTAGCGGGCGAACTGGCGGGGTGGAGGGATATGCATGAAAAGATGGGACGGAGGGCGATTAGGGAGTTGGCGAGGGGGATGTTGATCTTGGAGAGAGGACGAATGGAGGGGTTGAAGAGGGCTTTGAGGAAGGTCAAGGCGGTTGAGGCCGGAGGGCTGACGGGTTTGCGGGATAGTGCTGTTGATAGGAATTCAGTTGGGGTTGGTGGAAGTAGTAGTGGTGGCTACAGGGGGAATGGGAATGGGAATGGGAATGGGAGGGGTGTACCCGGCAAAGGCGTCGTCGGTGTGGGAAAAGCCCCGGCGACGATAGCTGCCAGTACGGTGGTTGCGACGGGGAGGATTGATGATAACTTGTTATAGTCCCAGTTAACGAATGGTGGGACGGCGGCAGATGGAGCGGTGTAAGTTTCACGGACTGAAAGTACAAACGGCGTTGGATGGCTTTTATCTTTTTGAAGAGGCTGGTTTGCTGTCGGTTTGTGGAACGTGTAATGTACAACATGACAATATGGGCAATGGTTTGGTGAAATGCCTGGCGGCGTTGTCTGGCCGTTGGAGATTACATTTCAAAGATTTGTCCGCCTGCAGTGGTGAGACAGTGTTGAGTGGTTTACAGGATACAGGACAGGCGTTAGAGCTGGGAACGTGCGGTTGAACTTTCAATGTCATACTCTTTCTCTGCGCAGAAGTTACCTCGCCGCCCCTTTGGGTTCCGCCGCGGGGGTCTTTTATTTCAATTTCGTTTCTTTTTTTTTGTTTTTTGTTTGGTTTCGACACAGTCGACAATAAAGTCAGCGTGTGATGTCTTGTCCCAATTAATCACGCAGCCCGCAAAGAAATTTTGCCGAAAAAAATTCGAAACAAAAAGAAAAAGAAACCAATTCATGAACCTAGAGAGCCCAGCAAGCGATCCAGATGAGAACCACATAGGTATCATCAACAAAACGACCTCCACTCAGAGGTATCTAGGTAACTGCTCCTTAACGGCTTTCAGACGCCAAACCCCTATTGCGCGTATAGTATGTATAGGTAGGTACAGCGTACGGATCACACAACCTGACCATCTTGAAGATCGCATGATGAAACAAGCGCGACCCCAACCACCAAAGAATGACGAGTGACCGTTGTCAAGCTGAAGAAGCCTGTGTGGTTGGTAAGTGTAGGCCGAATGCGATTGGACCAAACAACAAAAATGAAGCATGATAATTAGCCGCCGCCGCCCTATAAGTATGTAACAAGATAAAGGTACTACTATGTAATGTACATATGTACACAGGATGAGAGCAATGAAATGAAATTCTTGGATGCATAGGTAACAGGCTACAATATCCGGTCGGTCAGATCCGGTCAGGTCCAGGTCCAGGTCCAGGTCAGGTCGGCAGAATGGGCCTGGCTGGGGTGAGGCTGTGCTTGGCCTTCCTTCTCTGAAGATGAGATGGAGGTGTAGCATGGCATGGTATGGCATGGCATGGCCCGGCATGGCATGGCCCATATGATGATGAGCAACGAACGAAACTGGCCGGACCACGGACGGATCCCGGGTAGATGTTGAGCCGTAGCGTACGTAGGGCTTGGTCAGTCAATGTGAGCAAAAGCCGGAGGAGAATGGGAGACCTCAAACAAAGCCTATTGTTGAGACCCAGTTTGGATGTCTTTGTGCTACATACAGAAGTACATATGTATCCGCTCGGAAAAGCGGGAGAGAAAAGAACATGATGGTGTTTCATGTTTTCTTGGTGCGCACGTGGTTGAAGGATGGGATGGGGGCCATTGTTCCTTTATCTTTGTTCCGTCCTTTTCTGGCGTGGAAAAAATAAAGAAGGATATGTAGTAGTACTATGTACCTATAGCCAATCACTTCGGATTATTGGGTCCCGATAGGTGCTTGGAAGGAGGGGGGATTGAGGAGTGACTGACATGGAATGATGCTATCATAAGAGTCCGCTCCGGGAAGACGGGTATGCGACCCTTCTTTCAACCTTTCCACTGGGGAAGGCGTTTTCAGCGGTTTCAAGTTGTAGATGAGAACTGTACAAGTTCGTCTCGTCAGTTATCTGATATTCCGTGATATGACCTGCATTACTCATTCACTGGCATCCACGGGTTTAAACTTGGAAGATCACAACCATCCAGCTCTCTCGATGTAAAATGCCTTGTTGGGATCAGATTGGACCTTTCTAGACGTTGACAACACAAGGACAAAGCATATCATATCATGCCATGTCGGCAGATAACGGGGTTTCTTTTTCCTTTTTTTTTTTTTTTCTTCGCCTTCACATGATTCACGTCCAACCCATATTCACATGTATGTGCGTGACTTGACGTGCTTTTCTTTCCACCAACTCTCCCCCCGCACCACGACACTGGCCATGGGAGATGGCGAAGAGATGGATGGTCAGAACCTCAACAGAAATGGAGTATGCCTTGCAGAAAGCCGTTGTTTCATGTTTCTCCCACTACCACATGAAACAATGAAACATCTGTCAAGCCGAAAAAGTGAAAAAAGTGGGAAAAGAACGGGGAAGACGAAGAAACTGCCAAAGGTCTGGTACCCGGGATGGACAATGGCACCACATGTTTAATCGGATGCGACTGGATACCTCGTTCAGTTGGAGTTTGACACTTCACCTAGCATTAGTCGAGATGCCCTAGGTAGTAGCTTGCGTTGTTAGTCTTAGTGTCCATATAGTTAGTGTTCTGCATGTTTTAGTGCGAATTTGCTGTGGCCAGTGGATTTTTTTTTCTTCCTTCTTTTTCCTCTCTCTCTCTCTCCCCGCTGTTTCTTCCCTTCTAGGCTTTCCTTCCCCTCTTTTTTCTGAGTAAGAAGGAAAAGCAAGAGTCGGTAAGAAGAATTCTAGACAACTTCCAGTCTTTGGTTGTCTGCCATTCCATACAGCATATATTGATATCACCCACACATGTATCGATAGGTTCCATGCCGTCCAATCGACGGGTAAACTTGCCCCATGTCCGAAAAGGTAATGGCATGGTAGTGTATAAGTTGGGTTTAAGTGATCTGATTGGCCACCAACAATGCAGGGTTGAATCGGACCCTTGTGGAATTGGTCGGGCTGCCATGCGGGACGCAAAGACAGGGGGGGTTGAAAGACTCGAAAGTGAAAGAAAAAAAAGACAGAAATGCGCGACTGACAGCACAACAGCAAAGTTGCAGATCGGCGTTCTGGTGTTGCATGAAAATTGGAGAACAAACTGCAAGAACCGTCGTCAGTGTTGAAAAGCTCCCGTTCGGAGGAAAAGGCCGCGGGTCGCCGGCAACGTTAGCGTAGGTAAAACGGACTGAGACGACTCCAACTCCGAAAGTCCCCGTGGTCTCGGTGCTGCGCAGGCAATGTCAAGAAACGATGAAGTGTAGATTTTTCATGTCAAGACGCCTGGGGTATGATAGTCACATGAGGACGAGGAACGTTACTACTGAGACGTTACGATCTCGGGACAATTTTTAAAGGGGGTGACGGTGACCTTGCGGCGATCTGGCTCGCTAAAACTTTGGAAGAATATATTCACCTCCTGACCTGGCCTTGCTCGGTGAGTTTAAGGGAGAAAAAAGGCCGGGAATTGTTGTACGAAACCTTGTAACTGACCGGACCGCCCTCTTGGAGTACACTATGTACGACCGGAGTGAACATTGTCATCGACGTTTGAACGGGCGCTTAAAATTGATGACGCTGTGGGTTTCCGATCCGAAGATCCTATCCTCCCTTGAGATGTGAGACTCCGAAATTCTAAGCGCCTACAAACCTCGTAATGAGGCTGTGCAACTGCCGACCTTTACGGTCATTGTCAAACCTTTTCTTCAAAGTAAGGAAGGAGAATGAAGCAGATGATGAACAGGAGAGCTCCGGATATCGGATTGAGCTGGGCTGGCAAAACCGGCCTCTAACAATTTCCGTAACCGCCCAGCCGCCGCTGATGTTAACGCATGTTCAGGGTTATGCCTACCTAAAGACCCTAGGGAGTTACCTAAGCACGGCGACGGCACGATTGGGCGGCTGTTTGATTAACCCGACCCGCTCGCTGTGTTAGTGTCCTACGCTACAACTGCGCACGGTTTCTTAACAAGTTAATTGAAGCGCAAGCGACATTCCATGTGCAAGCGCCCTCGGGTGCGCGCTTCATACTACGGTCGTCAGCTAGACATCATCTTTGATCTTGTCTACTTCATGGCGCTTAGGTAGTTTCAGTCCGGCAAGAAATTCGTGCTTGCAATCTTCCAACCCCTTCTGAACGACGCCGTACCTGCTCGATCCCTACCTTGTTTAGCTTCGGCGGTCGGTCGTAAGACAAAGCAATTTCAGTAACCGCTCGCATCTTGGAACCCTTCAGACTCTCGACCGAACCTCTGCCCCTCTCTCTCTCTCTCTCTCTTTTTCTCAAAGTTGAAGGTCTGAGAAAAGCTAAGCAGTCAATGGGTCCACCTAAAATAGGGCCGTCATAGGGTCGGAGGTTTCTCCTAGCACTGCATTTCCTCTGTGCAGAGGAGAGATGCGACTGGTAGCGGGGAGCAATCGTGGAGCTGCTCTGGAGTCTTGAGCAGAAACATGATGCGAGGGAGACATCAACGAGCACGCCCAAACTCCGGATAGCCGAAATGTCGAACGAAAGGATGGAGAGGATGGGTGCCCAACCCGCCTTACTTTTTTTGTTAGTGTCGGCCTGGCATGCAATGCAGTATGTATGGACATTGCGAGCTATCACTATCACTGAGATAACGGGGAGGCGAGTGCCTTTCCAGCTGTCGTATCAGAACACTTTTCTCGGACGTTCTGGATTCAGTGAAAGTAAAAGAGCTGGCCTTGCATCCGTGCCTGACCTTCTATAGTGTAGTCGAGCCGTGGCAGCCTTCCGTTTGGCTTTTCGACTCTGTGGATGGGTCCGTTCAGCAGCAGTCCTGCTCAACGGCCTAGCATGCCTTTGTCGCCGCGGGGTAGATGTCTTTTGAGCTGATGGTGGTGCGGTGGTGGTGTCCGGGTGGTGTTGCGAGAAAAAGACGCGATGAGTTCGAAGCCTTGCTCCATCAGACGTGTCGTGGCTCGACTCGATGGCCCTGGCTGCGATGTGCTGCGGGAAGCACCGTCGTGATGACCCCGCGTCGAAGTGGCATCTGGCAGCATGATCGACCCCCCATTCGGTTCCGCCCTGTTCTCACTTGTCTGTCAGTTTGTTCCCCCCCGCCATATCCTATGTATCCCGATATTGACCCCAAACACACGCTCCAACAGAAGAAGTTCTGTCCCTGGCCCGCTCTTGCTGCCATCTGCCATTTGCCGTCTGTCTGGTTCGGTTCCCACGTCGTCCCGCGGCTGGCGCCTGGGCCCAAGATCTCGAAAGAGCTTCTGAAAGTACCGTTGCTACTGGCGAGTGCTGGATCAAGTACAAACGACCCTTGACGGGTAACGGTGCTACGCTGTAGGCGGGACCATGTGTCTAAATATGACTCATAGACGCCTGCATGGCGGCTTGCACCGACATGGGATTTTGAGCCAATGGTGTTGCTGAGATGCCCATCTACCTTCGACTTCTCAGAACTAGGGCTTCCCAGAAGGGAAAAGGGCTCTTCTTTGCGTGAAGTCCCAAAAAAGGGAGCTTGGGCCATGAAGCGTTTTGAGGAAGCTTCCACATGGAATGAATGGAGCGAGAGAACGTGTAACTGCCGGTACATCTTCTTTGTCCTCTTTGTCCATTGTGTCCCCTCCCCCGATCCGACATGTTGATGCATGTAAGTGAGACTCAGGATTATCGGTATCTTATCAGTCTACATACCCTATCAT